TTTTAAATTTTGAAATTTTACTTTGCTTTAAGAAAAAATAACAATGCATATTTAAAAAAATATCTTCTCTAAAATCTTTTAATTAATACTTACATATTTATTTAAAGAAATCTCTCGCTATAATTTAAATGGTCAATTTTAAATCCTACATATTAGATGTATAAATAACTTCTTTCGTGACCAACTTTAGATATGCTAATAAAAGTGTATTTGAATTTTGGCAAATTATTCTTCCATTAAAATTGCTCAATCTGTATTTCGAAAGCTGTATAACAATTTGCAATTAAATTAACTACATTTTTAGTTTAATTGGAAGTGAACGCTGAAAAAATATTGTACATATTTACGATTACACCCTTCACTATTTTTATTGCAGTATAGCCGCCGCTCAAACAACAAGAAAAATTGATAAGATTTACAGAAATAATATTGTGTTATCAAGAACGTGCCGAAATTGATTTACAAAATTTAAATGTAGTGATTTCGAAGTGAACAATAAATTGCTTTTCAAAGCGAGCCGCAATATTATTTCGCCGCAGTATTTGTAAGCTGCCTGGAAGATTACAAAAAGTGATAGATTCAAAAAGAAAGTACTTTGATTGAAATATTTGTTTATTTTAATAAATACATTATTAAAAAGATTACAGAAACTTATGCACGTTTCCAATAATATCATTAACATGCTTACAATAGAAAAATGTATGATTTACTGTCCCTCAATTTTATATCTGTTCAATAAGCATTATGTAACAAGAACCTTCGACTTTCTTCGTAATTTCAACCAAAAACCTCCGTCCGCCATCGTGAGAATCATTTTCTTGTTGAATACCATAGGAATTTGAGTTTTAATATCGGGTTCGAGATCGCAACGCCAAAGTAGATAGAACAACATGACTTTTGCTTGCATTAGGGCAAACCTTTTAGCTATACAAATTCTGGGTCCAATACCAAATGGCATATAAACCGAGTTGTCTATATCACCATTAAGAAATCTGTCCGGATCAAACTTATCTGGATGCGGATAGTACTTTGGATCGCGATGCAGACTGAAATTCGGAATCCATATGCTATCTCCAGGCTTAATCGTAATTGGTTTACCATCCGGAGTCGCTGGTGGTAATTTGGTTTCTTTAACGCATTTTCTATCAAGAAAAGATGCTATTGGATACAATCTGAGAGTTTCATTTATCACGGCGTCCAAATATTTCATACAGTTGATAGCTTCGTAGGTAGGTTTGCCATTGATCTGCCTAAGAACATCGTCGACTTCCTCTTTTAATTTTCTCTGAACATCAGGATTGATAGCGATTTCATACGTTATGAAACACATAGCTGATGATATAGAATCGAATCCAGCGATAAAGAAAAAAAACGCTTGTGCCGTCATTTCGTTAATGTCGTACTCAGGGCCGGTATTCTTGTTTCTGGTCTCCATCATCAATTGAACCATGTCCGGACGAACAATTCCTTGCTCATCTCTGGTTTTCACTGTGGTGGCAATAATATCTTTGAAACAATTCTCTATCTTTGAACCGAATATTCTCAGCTTGATGAGTTTCGCAAGTTGCGGGAAGTTTCTATGCATTAAAATCTTGAAAGCAAACCAGCCATCAAAATTTAATGCCTTCTTGCCAAGTAAGAAGAATTCATTGTTCGGATTTTTAAAAGAATCCACTTCAATACCGAAAGCACACGTGGCTACTGTATCGTTGGTGTATCTAGAAAGTAAATCCTTCATATTATACGTTTTGGCAGCTTCTTCGGTTTGCATTACTACAAAATTGGAGAAGTTCTCTGCACACTGGCAAATAAGTCCGAACATCATCTTCATCTTGCTGGATGTAAAACTGGGACTAAGAAGTTTCCGCATTTCGCGCCAGTAATCCCCTTTCAGGTTAAACAGATTTCTGCCGGCTATCGGATCGAGAGTTTCATTGATGAAATGATGATGATCACAGAAGTTATCGAACTGTTTTATAGTGATTGTGGAAATCAAATCTGGATCACGAATAACAAAAATCGGTATTATAAAATCGTAGAAGCCGAAGAACTTTGCGTTCGAGAAGTAGTTATACATTTTTTGTTGAAGTTCCATATGGCATATACGTTGAAAAACAAAAGGCGCCATGTTTCCCAATATTGGAATTGGTCTCACATGAGGAATTTTTAGTTGTTCGAAGTAAAATAATTTAAAAAATAACTTATTTAGGATATAATACAAACAGATACTCGTTGTTAGAATAAATAGAAGTAAAGTAAAAGGTTCCATCACGACAAGAATTTTCAGATTGACTGGTGATGCGCGCACAACGAGCGAGATTCTGTTACTAAATGCTGCACGTACGCTATTGTATGTACGCCACAATAAAATTAAATATCGAAAATGCGTAAACATAAAGTACATGAATGTTGCAAAGTTCTTTCTTATTGAAGCAGAACAAGTCACGATAACGTTAGAATAACATTAAAATAAAACGGATGTTATTGAAAAAAGCATTTTAATGATTATTCTGAAGCTATTTTGACATCATTTTAATATCTTAACGACTTGTTGTTCTACTTAGGTATCTCCTTGAGATAATAATATTCTTCGTCATTCTTCGCAATATTTATCTGAAAACCATAGTGTCTCTCTCTAAGAAAAGCGCAGTAATAATATAAATCAGTTATCACTTTTTATAAAATGAATTAGATTAGAGAAAAGATCAATTAGAGAGTGTTTTATTTTAGCACACACAATATTATTATGTTCAATGTTTTTTAATGAAGTAATAGATACAATATCGTTTAAATAATTTATAATATTTATTATGTCTTTATCCAATTGGATACATAAATGATAAAAGCATAATAGGAATTAATGTTTATTTTTTTTACTCTTTTGTTTTTTATATAATCTTACGTTTGGTGTATTTTTTAACTTATCACGACTGATAAGTAAAAGAAGTAATGCAACAAGTAATAACTAACAAGTAGTAACTAAATTTGTAACTGTTACTTTTATCAAAAATTATAAATATATTTTTTATTTTTAACCACACGTTTTCTATAATAATACTGACACAAGATTTTGAAATTAATGTAACAAATGTATCTAAAACCAAAATAGAGAAAATTATTTTTTTAACAGTTTGTAATATTATATAAAGATATTTTTCTTTCGTAATTAAACAATTGTATTTTTATATATTAGGTGTTGGAATTAATTCGTAGCGTTTTACAAGTGATGGGAAGTACTTTCATTAATGTATTTTTTAATGCTCATGTGAAATAAATAACATTCTTTTATTAAAAAACGCTACGAATTAATTCCAACACCTAATAAATTTTTATTTATTGTTTGGGTTTTAATATACACTTGGCCATAAATGTATTGTACCTTCACAAATTGATATAAACATACTATAATATCTAACGAAAAATAAATTAGTTTTAGTCAAAAATAATATTTAGTCTTATAACAATTTTGTTAATCTGTCTTTTATTTTTTTTCTATTTCAAGAAAATATGATAAAATAAGGATAGAAAATAAGAATTTATAACAAGGAAAATGATCAAAGAATATATGTGCAAATATGTCAGTGTTCTTTATAGGGGAGACCGATGCTTGTTGGTACAACAAGCAACTTGGCATTGCGTTCCGTTTATGTATTTATGGCGAAGAAAACAATGGAAAAGTTACTGCAAAGTATCTCTTTTATAATGTGGATTCTTTTTAGTTTCATTTTAATCAAATAAGTTTATAATAAAAATCAAGCAAATGTTACAATAAGAAGAAAAGAAAAATTTGATTCAAGAGGAGACATATAATTTTTTAACGTTTCATAATTTCGTAATAATATTCTTTATCTTGAGGAAGTAAATGTAAAGAATATATTATTAGTTAAAGAAATATTTATATTACTATATGTAACTTTTACTTATACATGTTACATTGAAAAATAACAGTAATTTATTAGAGTAAAATGATTAAAATTACAGGTATAAATAGGGATGGAATGCGTTTGCTCATATTTTAGGAAAGGTTACCTAGAGCATGCACTTGCAGCATCACGCGAATGAACATTCAGTTACAACTTAATTCTTAAAATACTTTATATTTAATATTTTTACATTAAAATATATTACAATTAAAATAATTTATATTTATTTTTCTATTATTATAAAAATAATACTTGCTATTTGATCATTATAAAGTAACTTAAAAAAAATATGTTTACTAAAAGAAATATATATCTCCGATCTGTTTTTCATTTTTATTAGGTTTCATTAACTTAATATACTTATAGTTTGTTGTACAGCGAATTTATACCGCGATCTACATCAATTTATTTCAATATAGGAGTAAGATGATTATACAATGTAGCATGTTCATATTTTACTTACTACGAAGAAACTAAATAATGTACAGATGTAATCATTCCTAATATAAAAATACAATGTAGAAAAAGAATTCTGCTATCATATTAATATATTTTAATCATAATTAATTATTTAAAAAGCTAGTGCCGAAAAAGTAAAAAATGTGCTGAGCATCGGTTTCTTCTATTTAAGGCTAAAGTTTCAGATTGTTTAAGTATTATTATGTATTAGGTGTTGGAATTAATTCGTAGCGTTTTACAAGTGATGGGAAGTACTTTCATTAATGTATTTTTTAATGCTCATGTGAAATAAATAAAATATAAAATAAGTAAAACATCAACATCCATTATTTCTAAAATTTATCTAATTTATATAAATAAAAACAATAAAAAAGAAATGTATGTTACATTAAGAGTACCAGAATTATTGTGTGTTATAATAACATTTTAAGTGTTAAGAAATTTTTACTTTATCTCTTTTTAATAAAAAGTAATTATACATATTTAAAATAATAGCTTTTATAAAATTTTTTATTTTTTACACATTTAATTGAGGAAAAGGTGAATTTAATACATACATGTTTAAAAAGAAAGCTCGTGTTATAATTTAAAGAATCTTTCAAGTATATAATTATACGTTTAAAAAGAATGTATTAAATATGTGTATTATTCCTGTCCCTTAATTTTATGTCTGTTCGTAAACATTGTGTTAATAGAAGCCTACAATTTTCTCACTCGCAATTTCAACCAAAAACCTCCATCCGCCATCATAAGAAGTGTTTGCTTCTTTAACACCATAGGAATTCGAGTTTTAATGTCGGGTTCGAGATTGCACCGCCAAAGTAGATAGAACAGCAAGACTTTTGCTTGTATTATGGCAAACCTATTACCTATGCAGGTTCTAGGTCCGATTCCAAATGGCATATAGACTAAGTTATTTACATATCCGTTAAGGAATCTGTCTGGATCGAATTTATCTGGATGCGGATAGTACTTCGGATCGCGATGCAGAGAATAATTCGGAAACCATACACTATCACCTGGTTTTACCGTGATCGGTTCACCATCCGGAGTCGCTGGTGGTAATTTAGTTTCCTTAACACATTTTCTGTCAAGAAAAGGTCCTATTGGATACAGTCTGAGAGCTTCATTTACCATGGTGTCCAAATACTTCATGCAATTGATAGTTTCGTAGGTAGGTTTGCCATTGGTCTGCCTAAGAACATCATCGATTTCTTCTCTCAATTTTCTTTGAATATCCGAATTGACACCGATTTCGTGCGTCATAAACACATAGCTGTTGATATGGCATTATACCCCGAGAGAAAGAAAACAAATGCTTGGGCTGTCATTTCGTTAATGTCGTACTCATATCCATTATTATTTCTTGAGTCCATCATCAATTGAAATCCGGGCGAATAATTCCTTGATCATCTCGTTTTCACTGTGGTGGCAACAATATCTTTAAAAAAATTCTCTACTTTTGAGCCAAACATTCTCAGTTTAAAGAATTTCGCAAGTCGCGGGAAATTTCTTTGCATTAAAAACTTGAAGACCAACCAGCCATCAAAAGTGAATGATTCTTTGCTAAGTAAAAAGAATTCATTGTTCGGATGCTTAAAAGAATCTACGTCAATACCGACACACGTGTCGGTATATTTGGGAAGTAAGTCTTTCATATCATACGTTTTGGCAGCTTCGGATTGTGTTGTCACAAAATTGACTAAGTTTTCGGTACACTGGCAAATAAGTCCAAACATCATCTTTATCTTACTAGATGTGAAGCTGGGACTAAGAAGTTTCCGCATTTCGCGCCACTCATCTCCAAGCAGGTCAAATAAATTTTTATTTGCTATCGGATCAAGAGTTTTGTTGGTAAAGCCGGAATGATCGCAAAAATTATCGATTATTTTTTAATGGCGGTCATGGAAATCAGGTCTGGATCACGAATAACGATTACTGGCATTATAAAATCGTAAAAGCCGAAGAACTTTGCATCCGGAAAGAGATTGTACATTTTTCGTAAGAGTTCCATATAGGATGTACGTCAAAAAACAAAAGACGCCATGTTTCCCAATATTGGAATTGGTCCCACATCGGGGATTTTTAGCTGTTCGAAGTAAGATGATTTAAAAAATAACTTATTTAGGATATAATACAAGATACTCACTGCTAGAATAAATAGAAATAAAGCAAAAGATTCCATCATGACAAGAATTTTCAGATTGACTGGTGATGCGCGCACAACGAACGAGAGTCTGTTATTAAATGCTGCATACTGTATGTACGTCACAATAAAATTAATAATATCGAAAGTTGCGTAAACATGAAGTACATGAACGTTGCAAAGTCAAGTTCTTATTGAAGCAGAACAACAAGTTACGATAACGTCAGAATGACATTAAAATGAAACGGATGTGATTGAAAAATACATTTTAATGATTATTCTGAAGTCATTTTGACATCATTTTAATAACATTACCATCCGAAGCGCCACTACGGTCTAAGTATTAAGATATTGAACTAATATATATATTATTCAAACGAATGAATTAATTTCAGAAATAATAATTACGTGTCGATATGGTTGTCGACATTAACGCAATTAATCTGAAATGTAATAATCTCCCCAAAATTCCCCAATTTAATCTTAAAAAACTGTGATAAACTTATCATTTTAATATCTTAACGACTTGTTGTTCTGTTTAGGTTATCTCCTTGAGATAATAATATTCTTCGTCATTCTTCACAATATTTATCTGAAAACCATAATCTTGACTCTAAGAAAAGCGTAGTATTAATATACGCAATATTAATATATATATCAGTTATCACTTTTTATAAAATGAATTAGATTAGAGAAAAGATCAATTAGAGAGTTTTATTTTAGCACACACAATATTATTATGTTCAATGTTTTTTAATGAAGTAATAGATACAATATCGTTTAAATAATTTATAATATTTATTATGTCTTTATCCAATTGGATACATAAATGATAAAAGCATAATAGGAATTAATGTTTATTTTTTTACTCTTTTGTTTTTTATATAATCTTACGTTTGGTGTATTTTTTAACTTATCACGACTGATAAGTAAAAGAAGTAATGCAACAAGTAGTAACTAACAAGTAGTAACTAAATTTGTAACTGTTACTTTTATCAAAAATTATAAATTTATTTTTTATTTTTAACCACACGTTTTCTATAATAATACTGACACAAGATTTTGAAATTAATGTAACAAATGTATCTAAAACCAAAATAGAGAAAATTATTTTTTTAACAGTTTGTAATATTATATAAAGATATTTTTCTTTCATAATTAAACAATTGTATTTTTATATAAATTTTTATTTATTGTTTGGGTTTTAATATACACTTGGCCATAAATGTATTGTACCTTCACAAATTGATATAAACATCCTATAATATCAAACGAAAAATAAATAAGTTTTAGTCAAAAATAATATTTAATCTAATAACAATTTTGTTAATCTGTCTTTTGTTTTTTTTCTATTTCAAGAAAATATGATAAAATAAGGATAAAAAATAAGGATTTATAACAAGGAAAATGATCAAAGAATATATGTGCAAATATGTCAGTATTCTTTATAGGGGAGACCGATGCTTGTTGGTACAACAAGCAACTTGGCGTTGCGTTCCGTTTATGTATTTATGGCGAAGAAAACAATGGAAAAGTTACTGCAAAGTATCTCTTTTATAATGTTGATTCTTTTCAGTTTCATTTTAATCAAACAAGTTTATAATAAAAATCAAGCAAATGTTACAAAGAAGAAAGGAAAAATTTGATTCAAGAGGAGACATATAATTTTTTTAAGGTTTCATAATTTCGTAATAATATTCTTTATCTTGAGGAAGTAAATGTAAAGAATATATTATTAGTTAAAGAAATATTTATATTACTATATGTAACTTTTACTTATACATGTTACATTGAAAAATAACAGTAATTTATTAGAGTAAAATGATTAAAATTACAGGTATAAATAGGGATGGAATGCGTTTGCTCATATTTTAGGAAAGGTTACCTAGAGCATGCACTTGCAGCATCACGCGAATGAACATTCAGTTACAACTTAATTCTTAAAATACTTTATATTTAATATCTTTACATTAAAATATATTACAATTAAAATAATTTATATTTATTTTTCTATTATTATAAAAATAATACTTGCTATTTGATCATTATAAAGTAACTTAAAAAAAATATGTTTACTAAAAGAAATATATATCTCCGATCTGTTTTTCATTTTTATTAGGTTTCATTAACTTAATATACTTATAGTTTGTTGTACAGCGAATTTATACCGCGATCTACATCAATTTATTTCAATATAGGAGTAAGATGATTATACAATGTAGCATGTTCATATTTTACTTACTACGAAGAAACTAAATAATGTACAGATGTAATCATTCCTAATATAAAAATACAATGTAGAAAAAGAATTCTGCTATCATATTAATATATTTTAATCATAATTAATTATTTAAAAAGCTAGTGCCGAAAAAGTAAAAAATGTGCTGAGCATCGGTTTCTTCTATTTAAGGCTAAAGTTTCAGATTGTTTAAGTATTATTATGTATTAGGTGTTGGAATTAATTCGTAGCGTTTTACAAGTGATGGGAAGTACTTTCATTAATGTATTTTTTAATGCTCATGTGAAATAAATAATTTAATTAAAAAAGATTGTTAAAATTATTCGGATCCTTTACACATAACTATTTGTAAAGAGACAATAATTTGTAAATTAACAATAATTAGAAACTGCTTATATCTATTATTTTTTTATACATCGTTTAAAAAATTTACTGAATGAAAATATCTAATATCAATTTACTTGTATTGCACACAATATCATTTTGTATTACATTATACTTTGAACATGCTTTATACAAGTGTTACTAGCTTAAATATTTAATATAAAATTATATTACTTATGTTAAAACATAGACAGTAAGAGTAATATAAAATAAGTAAAACATCAACATCCATTATTTCTAAAATTTATCTAATTTATATAAATAAAAACAATAAAAAAGAAATGTATGTTACATTAAGAGTACCAGAATTATTGTGTGTTATAATAACATTTTAAGTGTTAAGAAATTTTTACTTTATCTCTTTTTAATAAAAAGTAATTATACATATTTAAAATAATAGCTTTTATAAAATTTTTTATTTTTTACACATTTAATTGAGGAAAAGGTGAATTTAATACATACATGTTTAAAAAGAAAGCTCGTGTTATAATTTAAAGAATCTTTCAAGTATATAATTATACGTTTAAAAAGAATGTATTAAATATGTGTATTATTCCTGTCCCTTAATTTTATGTCTGTTCGTAAACATTGTGTTAATAGAAGCCTACAATTTTCTCACTCGCAATTTCAACCAAAAACCTCCATCCGCCATCATAAGAAGTGTTTGCTTCTTTAACACCATAGGAATTCGAGTTTTAATGTCGGGTTCGAGATTGCACCGCCAAAGTAGATAGAACAGCAAGACTTTTGCTTGTATTATGGCAAACCTATTACCTATGCAGGTTCTAGGTCCGATTCCAAATGGCATATAGACTAAGTTATTTACATATCCGTTAAGGAATCTGTCTGGATCGAATTTATCTGGATGCGGATAGTACTTCGGATCGCGATGCAGAGAATAATTCGGAAACCATACACTATCACCTGGTTTTACCGTGATCGGTTCACCATCCGGAGTCGCTGGTGGTAATTTAGTTTCCTTAACACATTTTCTGTCAAGAAAAGGTCCTATTGGATACAATCTGAGAGCTTCATTTACCACGGCGTCCAAATACTTCATGCAATTGATAGCTTCGTAGGTAGGTTTGCCATTGGTCTGCCTAAGAACATCGTCGATTTCTTCTCTCAATTTTCTTTGAATATCCGAATTGACACCGATTTCGTGCGTCATAAAACACATAGCTGTTGATATGGCATTATACCCGGCGAGAAAGAAAACAAACGCTTGGGCTGTCATTTCGTCGATGTCGTATTTATATCCATTGTTCCTTGAGTCCATCATCAATTGTATTGTGTCCGGGCGAATAATTCCCTGGTCATCTCTAGTCTTCACTGTGGTGGCAACAACGTCTTTAAAAAAATTCTCTACTTTTGGGCCAAACATTCTCAGTTTAAAGAGTTTCGCAAGTCGCGGGAAGTTTCTTTGCATTAAAAACTTGAAGACTAACCAGCCATCAAAAGTGAATGATTCTTTGCCATGTAAAAAGAACTCATTGTTCGGATGCTTAAAAGAATCCACGTCAATACCGAAGGCACACGTGGCCACTGTATCGATGGTATATTTGGAAAGTAAGTCTTTCATATCATACGTTTTGGCAGCTTCGGATTGTGTTGTCACAAAATTGACTAAGTTTTCGGCACACTGGCAAATAAGTCCAAACATCATCTTTATCTTACTAGATGTGAAGCTGGGACTAAGAACTTTCCGCATTTCGCGCCACTCATCTCCAAGCAGATCAAATAAATTTTTATTTGCTATCGGATCAAGAGTTTTGTTGGTGAAGCCGGAATGATCGCAAAAATTATCGAATTGTTTAATGGCGATCATGGAAATCAGGTCTGGATCACGAATAACGATTACTGGCTTTGTAAAATCGTAAAAGCCAAAGAACTTTGCGTCCGGAAAGAGATTATACATTTTTCGTAAGAGTTCCATATAGGATATACGTCGAAAAACAAAAGGAGCTATGTTACCCAATAATGGAATCGGTCGAACATGAGGAATTTTTAATTGCTTAAAATAAGATAATTTAACAGATATCTTATTTAAAACAAAATAATATAAGCAGATGCTCGCTGTTAAAACAGTGAGAAGTAAAGTAGAAAGCTCCATCGCGATATAAATTTCAAATTGACTAGGGATGAAGTGCACACACTACGAGCTTCTGTTACTGATTGTTGAAAGCGCGCTCTCAATACCATTAACATAGAAGGCGAGACGCGTGTTATCGGCCGTGGATCGAGTTAGATGATAGTGCCGGAAGGGCCGCGTGTAAACAGAAGAAGACGAGATCGGATCGCGAGCAGAGAGAGTGCTGTCCGTTTCCCACTATTATAATTTTTGCCTTTTTATTGTCACTACATTGTTACTACGTATAATCCGAGCCTACATATGCTCTCAATGTTTTGCAATAAAGTAGCGTGTTCGTGTAAAATAAGAAGAAGTGTCTAATATTATTGATAACCTTCCGATCCTGAAACCGCGGCAACACTGATTATATACATACGTCGTGATATATATATATATGTGTACATATATATATGTATATATGTTGAAACTGTACAATAATAAACTGTAAAAAAACTCTACAAAAAATCTAAAATTCAAGTTTGCAAATTCAAGCATTCTCCTTGAATGTCTCGTCTCTCTCCTTGAACGTGCTCTTTGTCATTCTATTAAAAAAAAAAAAAAATATTCTGCCATTTAGCGGATTAATGTCATGACTTTAAAAGGATACTCTGCAAAGTAAACGAATTTTATATAACTATAAAGTGCTGGATTTATTATTGCAATCCTCTCAAAACTAAAAAAATGTCTTACATGTACTGATATGCGTACTATAAATGATAAACTTCTCCTAACAAATAAGTGTGACGATAGTATTTTGTATATTCGCTTATTTCAAAAGATTATTTGAATTATTATAATAGAATTTTTTATAGAGGAATTAATTTTTAATTATAGCTTATGTGTCCTCATTTTTATAGATGAATACGTGTTATAAATAAACACGCACCTAATTAATGTAAGATTAATGTAAAATTTTTTGCTTAGAGGAAATGCTAAGTGGAATTCCTTGTTTATCGGAGAAGAATATTTTTTTGGGTTTATACAAGTTTATATCAATACAGCATTGTCGCTTTTGTTAAATAAATAAGATTAGAGTTATTTATAGGTCAATTACGTTTTATTTTAATAACATCAACGTTCAATCTTTTCTAATGAGATAATAAATACAATATTTCGTTATATAGTCTATAATAGAATTGTCCAAGGTTGGGATTTTTTAGCTTGAAATTAAAATTTGTCGGTGTTGATTCACACCTATTAACGTTTCCTGCTCCTCACTTCATATCTATTTTGTCGTAGTCCGTGACGTCCAGTCTCAGGGATGGCACTAGTTTGAAATTGTTAATAAGTTTTGACCTGTGTCTTTCACTATATTTAAAAGTATTGTGTTGCTAACATTATAATTAAGATACAATTATATATAATATGTTTAATTATAAAAATATGAATAATAGTATCTTATAATATTAATAGCAGAATACTTTTAAACATAAGCGTATAATATTATTTAATATTAAGTAATATTAATTACATTTAATATTTTAAGAATATGCTTAAAATATTACTTAATATTACATAAATATTATGCGCCTATAGGGATAATAAAAGACGCAGGTCAAAAACTTTTAACGATTTCAGACTAGTATCGTTTTTGAGACCAAGCATCGCACGCTGTAACAAAACAGTAATGAAGTGAGAAATAGGATAATGGGTGTGAATACCTACACATTTCAATTTCAGGCAAAAAAATCCCAAGCTTGGACAACTCTGAAACAGGATTCTGTAAACGTCTTATTGATGATTGTTGCTGTTGTTAATTAGCGACAAGCAATGGCAAGACAATGAACCTGGAAGAAAGCATGGCTCTCATTAGCTGTTGTTAGTTAATGATAGCGACAATTGTCGTTTGGAGAATCCCGCAACTCGTCTATAATATTTTGTAATTTTTATTGTGTCTACTCGATTTGTTTATACAAGGTATATACCTATCCATGAATCACATACGACGTGTGTTAGCATTGATGAGCGTTCATTTCATAACACTTATAGATGATCGTCTAAACGTAGTCTGTAGCTGACTATATGTAAACCTTTTATATCTAGAAAATTATTGTTTGAAATCCAAAATTACAAATAATTTTTGTTAAGTGTAACAGGATGGTAAGTATAACAGAAAATAGACTAAATATATAAAAGAAATTATGAGCGATGAGCGTGATTCAGATGTAATTAAGAGGATAATATAATTAAACAAAATAAGTAAAAGAAGAAAAGGGAAACTAAGTTACGAGTAGAGAGAGTGCAAGAGTGGATGAATAAGAATAAATGGATGAGTGTAGAAATATAATAATTGTAAAGTTCAAGTTCTTGATTGTTGACAGAACTAAAAGTAAATTGAATTGAATCAGAAATTATAAATTTATTTCTTTATTTTTTACCGGTTTTCTTCGTTATAATATCGCGTCTTTTTATAATAATAATATCACAAAATTTTGAAATCAATATATCAAATATATCTTGAAGTAAAGCCAAAATAGAGCAAGTTAATTTTTTTTAGCAACAATAATTTCTAGCAGTATTATCTAAACGTATTTTTATTTATTAGATCAGATAATTTTATTCTTTATATCAATTTTTATTCATTATTTATTCAGTAATATACATTTTAAGTAATATACATTTATTGCATTATTCATAATTACATTATTCACTTACATTAATCATTCTGTAATATACATTTAAATGGTACAGTTTATTAAGAAATACATCAGCATATTTTCTATTTCTATTACGATTTTTTTTTATTAATGTAATACAGATTTATTTGTTCTAGAGGCAACTTACATCGTGATATTAATTAAAATTTATCGAATTATCGGGGCAAGCACTGTACAATGCAATAAGTTCGTATTTTATTTACTACAAAGTAACTATAAAGTACTAGATAGTGTACAGAATCATTCCTTGAAAATATATTGAAAATTTCTTTTTATCATATTACATTTTATCATAGTACATATTTTAATCATAATTAGTTGTTTAAAAAACTAATGTTGAAATTATAAAAACGTGTGTCACGAGCTCTAATTTTCCCAATGTATAATTAAGACTGTAAATTATTGAAGCAATATCAGTAATTTTACTGATACAAAAATTAATAACTTCTTTTTAAATTGTAATTGAAAATAATAATTTCTTATTTTGATTTTCTATTAAATGTCAATATTTTATATTTATCTCAAAAATTAGATTGAATTGAAAAATATTACTACAATTAGATCAAATCCTTTACATATATCTATTTAAGTGATAAGTGATAATAATTTGTAAATTGATAATAATTTGAATAAGTTGCTTATATTTATTATTTTTTAATGCATTCAATTTAAGGACTAAATTGAATGTATTAAAACTAAACTAAACCAAAACATTTAATATCATTAACATCAAGTTGTATTACTTAATATCGTTTTGTATACCATTATTACATGTTTTAAATTTTTTTTAGGTAGGTGTTATTAACTAAAAAAATCTAACATAAGTTTATGTTCTTAAAACATGAAGTGCAACATTAATATAATAATGCAAAATTTATTATTACTTACAAAATTTATCGAGAATTTATATATAAAGACATCGAGAAAAAAATTATTTGTTTATACTAATAGTAGAATTATTGTGTTTTATAATAACATTTTAAATATTAAGAAACTTTGATTTCGCTTTTTATATGTTTATAAAAAATAACAATGCATCCTTAAAATAACAACATTTCTAAAATTTTTAATTTTTTGTTTATTTACTTGAAAGAAAGGTAAATTTTGTTAGATGTTTTTAGAAAAAGAACTCTTATTATAACTTAAATGATCATTAAATATATAATTTCATACTTGAAACAAATTGTAAATATGCATTATTACTGTCCCTCAATTCCATTTGATAAACATGGTGTAACAGAAATCTTTGATTTCTTCGGTCGTAACTTCAACCAAAAATCTCCATCCGGCCACAACGCTATAGTTTTCTTTTTCAACGTCAATGGAATTTTAGTTTTAACATCGAGTTCAATATCACAATGCCATAATAAATAGAACAGCATGATTTTTATTTCCATTAGAGCGAATCTGTTACCTATGCAGATTCTGGGTCCAATACCAAATGGCATATAGACTGAATTGTCTACATCACCATTAAGGAATCTGTTTGGATCGAACTTATTGGGATGCGGATAGTACTTTGAATCGCGATGCAGAGCGAAAACTGGGAACCATATGCGATCTCCAGGCTTTACCACGATTGGTTTACCATCCGGAGTCGCTGGTGGTAATTCGGTCTCTTTGACACATTTTCTTTCAAGGAAATGTGCTATTGAATACAATCTCTGAGTTTCATTTATCACGGCATCTAAATACTTCATGCGATTAATAGCCTCGTAGGTAGGTTTACCATTGGTCTGTTTGAGAACATCGTCGATTTCTTCTTTCAATCTTCCTTGAACATCAGGATTGATACTGATTTCGTGCGTTATGAAACACATAGCTGTTGATATGGTATCGAACCCACCGAGAAAGAAAACGAACGCCTGGGCAGTCATTTCATTGATGTCGAACTCAATTCCATTATCATTGTTTCTGTTCTCCATCATTAATTGAATCATGTCTGGGCGAACAATTCCCTGTTCATCTCTGGCTTTCACTGTGGTAGCAACGACATTTTTGAAAAAATTCTCTACCCTTGGGCCAAACATTCTTAGCTTAAAAAGTTTCGCAAGTTGCGGGAAGTTGAGATGCATTTGAAACTTGAAAGCCAACCAAGGGTTATTAATATTTAATGCTTCCTTGCCAAGTAAGAAGAATTCGTTGTTTGGATTTTTAAAAGAATCCACCTCGATACCGAAGGCACACGTAGCTATTGTGTCGTTAGTGTATTTGGAAAGCAAGTCCTTCATATCATACGTTTTGATCGCTTCTCCGGACTGCGTTATCACAAAATTGGTTAAGTTCTCGGCGCATTGACACATAAGTCCAAACATCATCTTCATCTTGCTGGATGTGAAACTGGGACTAAAAAGTTTTCGCATTTCGCGCCAGTGATCCCCTTGCAGGTTAAACAGATTTTTGGCAGCTATTGGATCAAGAATTTCGTTAACAAAGCCTTGGTGGTCGCAGAAGTTGTCAAATTGTTTTATAGCGATCGTGGAAATCAAATCTGGATCACGAATAACGAAGATCGGTGTTAAAAAATCGTAGAGACCGAAGAATTTTGCGTCCGGAAAGAGATTATACATTTTTTGTAGAAGCTCCATATGAGATATACGTCGAAAAGCATAAGGCGCCATGTTACCCAACAATGGAATCGGTCGCAGATGAGGAATGTTCAGTTGCTCAAAGTAAGATGATTTAAACTTATTTAGAACAAAATAATATAAACAAATAATCGCTGTTAAAATAGTCAGAAGCAAAGTAGAATACTCCATCGTGACAAAGATTTCCAAATTAGTTGTGAGAGAAGAAAATGTTTTTTATTATTAGGTTTTCTGATTGTTGTCAATAGAGAGTTTTTATTTCAGATTGATAAAATAATATTCACACTTGATTGTTAAAGTAGTGTCAATGTCATAGAAAACGAAGAAGCACAAAATTACTAATTATATTATAATAGTTTTGTCAATTGTTGTTAGAAATATTGTCTAACTGGAAATAGAAACGGTTAGTTCAGTGTACTACCGATGTGATGCACGCACCATGAGCAAAATTCTACTACTGAATGCAACACGATAGATAAGAATGAATAATGCGTAAATGTGAAGTCATAAAGTCAATTTATCTATCTCCTTGAGATGATAGTGCACTTTGTCGTACTTTATAAACATGTCCATCAATACATAATAACGTCACTTCTTTTATAAACTGGGTTAGAGGTTGAATGGCATTTTTCATTGATTAACGTTTTTCTTAATAAGTCAACTATGTAAGAGATGCATCAATTATGTTCAAAGTTAAAAGTTGGAATAATATTTTTTGTATGTATTTTCAATATATTTATTTCAGATAAATGACTTTTAAATTTAATTTAACTTTTTAATAAGAAAACGTATACAATAGTTTCTTTTAATTATTTATAATATTTATTGTGTATATCCGATTCGATATATAAATAATAAAACACAAGGGGATAAAATAGAAGATAATTTTCATAATATAAAACGTAAAACAACCTCACATTGACATAAATGTTCTAATGGAATATAAATTAAAGAATAATTTTATTGAAAAATATTATTTATTTTGTAATTATTTTAGTACTTTATTAGTCTTCTTTTTATTTTTATTATCAATCAGGTTTTTTTTTCCGAGAAAATACAATAACTTTGAGGGTACTTTAGTTAATACTTTGAGGGTACTAAGTTTATACTACCAAAGCTGTACAAGCTACAAAACTAAACTGTAAATATTTTTTTTTTATTTTATCAGAGCATATTTGACTACAGAGTTTTTATTTTTTTATCATATCAACTATTATCTTCCTTTCTTTATTATTTTAATCCACTAAAATAAATAAATAACTCTAAAAAAGATAATTCGTAAATTACAATTTAATAAATTGGATTTTAATTAAAAATATATGCATTATATATTTTTAGTGCAAATGTTTTTCTAAATAAAATTTTAATAACAATAATACTATACATTATCAATTGACTACATATCGTAAACTCATTTTTATTGACGTGTAAAATTGCTCTTTATTAAGCGAATTGTTGAAGTTAAGTGAGTTGAAGGTTAACCGATGATATGGGTTTTTTATTGATGTATAAGACGTCTAATAGAAATCGTGGTAAAATTGAATAAGAGATACTGGGTGTCTTCTATTTAAAGACATAAGCCTAGCTTAATAACACAAGTATCGTTCTATCTTTTGTAATATGGAATATCACTAAATGGAAGGCAACCAATTTCTTGCGTTGAGATAATAAAAAGTATAGAATTTATTATTATAATTTTTTAGATTGATTGCGTAATCTTTTAGAAACAAATTTTGATTAAAATAATGCAATTTTTTATTATTAATTAAACGCATATTATTTGATATATTCAAATATATTATATTAACTATAGATTTATATTAACTATAGATTTATATATATTAACTATAGATTTATTAAAAGAAAGAGATTGATAGGGATCAAAAGATTAACAAAATAATTAATTAAATAGAGCTATTTTGACTGTATATCAAAATGATTTTTTATTTTAGAATATCGTGAAATTGGAACACAATTAAAATTCTAATATTAACGTGGATAATATTGACATGGTCATTTTTTGCAACAAACATTTCAATGATACGCCGGCATTATCAAATTTGAACTTTTGTATATTTGCTCTGGATGGAACTTTTATTCAAATCTACAAATACATACAAACATAGTTTCTATGTATCGATGTTTCTGAGAAACAAAGTCATTCTGATAAGAAAATTTATCAAAGTGGATAGAGGTTCGCGATTAAGGACACAACATTCTATTAGTGAAATGTGATCGTAATGAAAATGGTAATTTGAAAAATGAGTAGGTACTTATGGGATGTGTTACTATGATTGGCACCCCAAGGATTTCCGTAAATAATTCACTTTCTACGAATACAGAATATCAATAAATTGTCGAAGCCTTTTGCACATATTAATCGAATAAATTTTTTTTTCTTATGAGCATAATTGTGCTAAATATATATATTTTTGTAAATCTAAAAATTATATCTGTGATTTAATGTTAATTAAAATTAATTAATAAAATTCAATTTTATCATTGGCTGTATTCAGCGGAAAAAACCGCTCAGTGTGTTATTTTTTTCGCTGAACGCACTCATTATTGTCAATTTATTAAATTTTAAATAATCGAAAGGTACTTGAAAATATGAATGAAATTGTCCAAATTAATTTGTCACTCATTTGTTATTTCAATTTAAATCTAAATTAGAAATACTTTTGTCTAAATACCGTACTGATTAAATGCAGACTACATCATACATTTGTCTTTTTATCAATTTTTCATAAATATTTTATATTTTATAAGTTTATCTAAAATAATTTTATATTACAATTAGTATAAGAGGTTTTTTAAATATAGTTTTATATTAAAAAATATTTTGTTTTGTGTTTTTTGATATGACGATAAGATTTTATATTAAATAATAAATATATCGAAATAAAAATCATCAGTGGTTTATTATAGATTAATTATATAAATGGGTCGTGAAAAAAATACAAAAAGTCTCTCTTTTCTTCACTATGTAGCTTGCAAGAGAATGCATGTTTATAAAGCGTTTTAAAAAGCACACTATCCGCTCTTTATGTACAAATTGCATGTGCATATAGTTTAACCAGTAAATGTATAACGCTACACTTTGCGTATTCTTCGTTTATGTTTATTTCAGTTACTATCACGCATCTTGTGAAACTCGCGTCTGTATATGTTACAACATATCCATTTACATAACTTGCATTCCATATAAGTCATTTATTAAAATTGCAGTATAAAGCAACGTATAAATGTAGTGTAAGAAACATCAATTAGTTTTAAATAAATATGTAAACAATCGTAAATTAAATCTGTAATATTTGTTGTTTAATAAACTAGAATCAGAAATTATATTGCATTTTATTTGTAACTAATTTCAGAATTTCTCTTAATAATGTTATTTATTAAAAATAAATAAATGTACAAAATTATTTTCTTAATCTTTCATAAATTTTATCTATACAATTTATTACAGTACTATTAATATATAGATGTCTTTTTTAATAAAGATATAACTATTAATATGACGCATTATTTTTTTTTATATCCAACTTTTTATTAAAATTATTTTATTATTTTTAAGAATGAATAAAACAGATGGTATATAATATTTAAATGTTAATATAAATGTTCTTAATATTGCTTATAAGCAAAATACATTAAAGAAAATGATAAACAGCAAACACATATTTATTATGTTATATAATTTATGACTGATATATTTGAAGAGATGATTAGATCTTGGAAAGATAACGTCATTTATCAATGTCTCTTATAATTGATATTCTCTCTAAAACTCGGAGAGTGAAATATCACTCGAAACGAGTGAAATATAAGTATAACAAAAAGTGAAAGTTGAGCTTGCACACTTCGAATGACTCGCGACTGCAAGAGTTAAATTGCAAACATCTCATAACTCTTCAAATCTCTATAAATTGAAAAAGTATAATGCAAATTCTAATGTTTCTTCTTGAGTAAATTATATTTTCTCTAAATTAAATTTAAATTATATTTTTATACTATTACAAATTAGCAATGAACAATATAAATAAGGTTTGTATACGAAAAATTATATATATATATTAAAAAAAGATTTATTGCATTGAAAATAAATAAATAAAGTATTTCCCAGATGTGCTATTTTGTTATGCTTAGATTGCGATAATATAGTTTTTATATGTATCGTTGCTTTTGCTATTCAACAAATCGTCCTTATTCCAAAGTAATTTCCTCGAACGAGGCAACGTTTACATGTGAATGGGTCAGCTGCAAATAAGGGGATTGACAAGTTTTATCGATATCAAAGATGAAAACTTTACAAAACCATTTTCAGAGTGCCAATAGCAGCAATAACGGAGGCGCCGGAAATATGAACCTGGTTTCGCTCGTGGGCACGAATGGGACTCGAAGACCACCCTCTCAACAATCATCGTTTCATTCGTCTAAGAACCATTCCCGGCATCAACCTACATCTGCTCCGCCGTCGACACCGCGGAACGCCTGTCAGATGACCGAAATAGAAGCTCCGTGTATACGTAAGTCTATTGCGACGTAAGATAAGCCTCTTAAAAATTTCCCATATAATATGACTTGTAAGATAAGATTGTAATATTTCGTGATAAGAAATTATCAATTGTTATCAATATTTTTTTTACAAAAGATAATAAATATCAACATTCTTTTATAAAGTAATGTTCTCTTAATGACGTAAACATCGCATTTTGCATGATATTTATAACTATTACAAGATGGTCGGACTATTAAAACTACAAAATAACTTAATAAAAAGTTTAAATTCTACAATGATAAAAAAAACAAGAAGTTTTGTATTTAATAAAGATAAAAGACATGTTTCTATTGAGTTATAAAATAAGCTTTTTACTTTTATAATTCTGAATAGATGTAAAAGCTACATAAAATCTATTTTTCACTTCGTAGACGTTAGGTCATCTTGTCGGAATCTCGGATCGACTAGATTTAATCAAGAGAGCATCACTAAAATGCTCGTGCTTATTAGTACGGTCTTCATATTGCTTAATTTACCGAGGTGAGCATTTTCATTAATTACTTCTATTTAATACGCTTTTTTCTGTTTATTTGTTTACAGTTCAAAATTTCCATGAATTATGTTTATGACATTTACTATATGTCTTCTTTTATAAAATAAAACTGAATATTTATACGTATAATCAGATTAAATTATATGATGTACACATTGTTTCTTTAATATAAATGTTGCAAAAGATATAATTATTACCTACGAGAAAATGTTTTCAAATTATATCATCGAAACGTCATACGTAAATTGTTGCATTAATCAAGTAATTTAAGCTCGAATAATGTAGTTTCCATTTGATGATAGAAATACATTTGGGCTTTTAGTTTAATATGTTTAAACAAATGTAATTTATAGCAAAATTTTATTGTATTATAATTTATAATATTTATTATATCAATATGTAACGGTGTAAGAAAAAAATTTTGGAGATATTCTACACGTGTGTGAATACTTGTTTTTTAATAGAATTTAAATTTTTCTCTCATATTGTAATAAATGAAGAGAAAATAAATTTCATCTCAATATTATTCATTTAACGAGCAATAAAATTCTATGAATTTTTTTCATAGGACATAAATTGTGAAGTAGATATAAATTACAGTTTGAGATGAAAACGAAATGGTCAATATTTTTTATTAAAATGAAATTTGCATGGAAATTGTATTACAAGTCAAATTTTCTGTTTTAGCTATGTGATTCGTCTATGCGTGTTCTTTTTTGCGCTAGCAAAGAAGGATACACCGGAGACACTCTGGTGTCTTCAACAGTTCTTCATGCTGCTCTATTATACAAACTTCAGCATCAATTTCCTTTTATATGCAATGTGCGGCATCACGTTCCGTCGGTGTCTGGAGCAGATACTGCGTAGGATTCTAAAGAGTATGACTCGGTATCATTGCAGTCCACAAAGGTACATATAATTTGCATTCCATTGAAGATCTGATAGAAATTAAATTTTAAATAGTTGGTTAATGGTGACTATTAGGGAATCAGTAAGCCCGTGAAACATCAACGCTCTTTGACCGATGATTCTCCTTTATCCGTGTTTGGTTTCAACTGAGATTTTAGTCGAAATCCTCGAGGCTTTTGGACGTAAATCCAAGGATAAATCTAAGATGATCCTATTTGCCTGAATCGCCTTGAAAGGGCGCACCATTTCACCAGACGCGATACGCATCTGTGACTTTAAGCTCGACGTCGATAACAAGATGACGGATTTAAAAAAATTTTGTCAAAAAATAAGAAAAATGTTGCTGTAAAACTCGAAACGATATAAATATTTGACTGACATAGATAGGATTCTTGAATTCTGTACGCAATTGTATGATAATGTAGATTCACAGTTATTATATGTGAATCACACATTTAGCTGTTACAAAAAATCTGTTTCTATTTATTCTTGTGCAAGTTCGGAGATATAAAAAAGTAGCAAAATTGCTTCGAAATATTCACGATCATGTATCGAGATTTCAATTTTGATTTTTGAAATCTTTTTTAAAATTAAATAGCACATTACGATATGTAAAAAATATCAAATGAAGTCGATTGTCTTTCTTTGAGAAATCAGGATTTTGCTTTAACTGTATTTTTGCGGTCTCTGATTGTCGTATCAGTAATGACCAATGTTCTGTTTTCGCATCGTACTTTTTGCTTTAAGCGAGAGAGAGAGAGAGAGAGAGAGAGAGAGAGAGAGAGAGAGAATCCATGAAATATTCATATATTCATAGAATCAGTTCTGTGGATATGAATTATTAATGTAAGAGAATTATCACTAGAGTAATCAACGAATATGGCAATTATTCTCAAATTACTTAATTTGTTCTTAATTTAAAGAGATGATCGCAAAATCTACATTATTAAAATTTCTTATTTTTTTAAGAATTAAAAGAAATGTAAGATACTTTACTTTTACAATGTAGATAGGGAAAATGTATGAATTTTTGAACATTACGTTTTTTCTACTGAATTAATTTTGTTATTTTTTAACATAATAATGCTATTAATTATAATTTCAAGTTTTTATGTGATATTAAAATAAATGAAAAAGTATTTTAGAATTTTTCTATATAGTCTTATTTAAAATAGCAAACTAAGATTTTACAGTGATGACAAAATATAATAATTAACAGAATCCAAAATTTATTTCAAATAGTTGTAAAGTAAAAGTTCGAAAAAGTCGATAGTTTCCAAAAGCTATTATAAAAATCAATTATTGTAATAAAATTGAAAAGAATTTTGATATTTTTTTCTAACATTTTATAGAAAAGAAGCTGCCCGATTAAAATTTATCACATTAAACTAATTATTCACTATAAGATAAAGCTTAATTAAAGCTTAGAGAAACAATAAAAAGAAATTATTAAATACGCTGCCAAAAACGTTATTTTTTTCTTGATGGAAAACCATTAAACATAGTTGCATATGTGTTATTGGTATATAACTCAAACGCAAAAAAACTCGAGTTGCCACGTCTCTTTTGCGTTGATTTTCTTTTTTGCACAATTAGGACAGAGATCGATTGACCAACTCGCCTGGGGAAATCACCAGGAAAAAATTTTTCGGTATTTCATCCGTAACACATGGAAGAGAATATTCTTTTGGGATGCAATTCCACTTAAAATCTCGAATAAACCTGTTTTTCGTGAATTCTCTTTTACGGATTTGTATCTCAACGTAATATTAAATAATAAAAAGAGTAGCATTAGAAACCTTGTAGTTTTACACGTAATACATGTACATGATCATTACGCGTAAAACATGAAATTATTCATTTTACAAAGTCCATTTGTTTATATCAAATAATTGCGTACTTGATATCAATACAAGAATGTTAATCAATAATCCGTTTCTAAGTATTTTCATAAACTTCTTACTAAAATATCTGAATTTATATGACAATCGTTTATAAAATGTAGTTTTGTTATTTTTTACTATATGTGTAAAAGGAAATTGAGAAACTTGAGAAACTGAGAAACGAAAGGTGTAAAATATTATATATAAAACACACATATATATATATATATATATATATATATAATATATACATTTATGAAAACAAAGATACAAGTTTAACGATCCTTGAATAGGTAGAGATCAATAAAAGTATTATAAATGTTGTGTGCTTATTCAAATTAATAATACATAAATACAAAATTTCATTTTTTTTTAAGTAATGCATTTTTTATTGCTATTCAATTGCCTTCGAGCTAAAGCCTTATCGTGGAAGCTTTTACAGTTATAATATCTTTCAATGGTTGGCGTCAATACAAATACATATGTCTGGCATTACTTTGTACGCTCTTTTTGCACAAATAAACCGTACACGTGTCGTTTCTTGAAAAATATAGTAGAATGGCATAAATAATATATAAACTTTTCCTTACATGCACATGTAATTTGTAAATTCGTAAATTTGGAATCATAAAATGCTATTTTATTAAAAGCTTTTTTTCTAAATTAAATGTCTCATGTGTTCTTTCTATTTTTTATGTATAAATCATATAGCATAATTCATGTGTCGTACATGTGATAAAGTTGTTAATCAATATTATTATGTTACGATATCTAATCTATAAAAAAATTTTAATTTGATTACTTGCATGTGTATTATGTAACATATTAAAACAGCAAAGTTTCGAGAGAGAATTAAATAATTAAAATATGTAAATTGATTCTATATGACATTATATCATCGTTATAAGAAAAACGACTTTAAAAGTCACCAAATGTCATAGACACTCACGCTAATTCTATATATAATATATCAATATTCTGTATATCAGTAAACAATTCTAATGTATATCAATATTCTATATATCAGTAACAATTACATATATTGATTAATTTATAATGGGATATGTACGTGTAAATATATAAACAGATATTCTATAAATCTCTGTATCTTTTTTATAAAAGTATATTGGCCGTGCTCCTGTTCCATATTTGTTACTCATAGAGCATATGTATTTTAAAAATAAGAATAGAGTTTTTAAGATAAGTAAAAATTCATGAAGTACAACATATACATATATACATTTACATATATACGATACATGTGGTTAACGTGTTATGCATTCCTGTATATAGCATATTGTATATGTTTAAGAAAAAAATACGTATTAAATATACATGTATATGTGTGTGTTGCGTGCAGATATATCTATCTGTAAAGACTATCAGATAAAACAAACAAAATTTCACGATGGCTATACGTTTTATTATTATATGTCAATAGGTATAATTATTTATTTAAGTATATCGTTTTAATTAAATTTATTAAAAAATTGAAGAACGTTATATAATATTTAATAATTATTATTTCCGTATTTCTATACGATAAGTCTAATCTAATCGATCTATGTCAATCTATGATATTATACTGACCTCTTGAAATCTTGTAAAATTACTTTCTACATTCTTTGGAGTGGAATCTCACTCTAAAGAATAAAAATTGAGCCAGTTTTGTAAAAAAGTGGCTCAATTTTCAATCTTTAAGAGTGATATTTCACTCTTCAAAGTCAGATTTATTCTAAAAAAAAGTTTTAGAGAATAACTTTTGTATTTCAGAACTTATTTACATGTAGTTTGTCTATACCTGATTAAAACAAATATGACAAATTTAAATGAGTCTTATACCGACTATGTAGCATTTATGTACATATATTATATATATTTTATATAATATAATATATATATATATATATATTTATGGAAATTATTCTTTAAATGATATATTGTTTATTTATATATTGTATAAATAAATTAATGTTGTTTTTCGAAAAGATTTGGAGAAAATAATATTGTTATTTGTGCTTCCTATTCCAAATATTTAGAATTTGTCTCGTCGCATTTTCTTTTCAAAGATAAGCTATTTGTGTTTTACAGAATGTCTCATAACTATCACATAATATAATAATAGTTTATTCTGAAAGTAAAATAAAAAATTCCAATATGAAACTGTCAGAATTGTTTTTAAATTATAATAGTTTAAATTATAATAGTCAAAAATAATAATTTTCAAAGGTAATAATACGTACAGAGAATTCGTATAAAGCAGCATCATCATTACACATCTTGTAAAGAAATAATATACCGATGCTCGTGTAACTACAGACTTCATCGAGCGAATTCTAAGTAACGTTACTGCTTATCTTTGATTGCTAATAATTAAAAAAATTAATTATTGGCCTCGATATTTTTCGAAAATATTAGGATTTTTTACTTTACCTTACTTTCAGAATACGCTATTAAAATACTATATAGTATAAGTTGTGAGACACCATATGTATGGTTCATTTGCAGAATTTTTTAATTTAAAAGAAATTTTTATAGTTTATTCATATGTAATGAGTGCTGCATATTTTTTTATTACAGCTAAAGGACGTACGTAGATATTTCTTCAGACGTCCCCAATGTTTTAAGTATATTTGTATCCAGAGGAAATATATATAATACATATATGCCAGGAATACATGATATCGGCAAACATATTAATCTAAAAGGGATATTATAGCATGGCCGGGTACATCGATCACCATTAATAATATTCTCCAAGATTTTGCGTAGTGTAATCAAATTCTTTATGATTGGAGTATTGAATAAAAATAAGTATTATCATGTTTCTATATTTAACATAATTTTTATAACGTAACTACATACATTAATATATTTTAAAATAAATGATTAAAAAGACGAAATTATAATTATTAACAAGCAAAAAATTATAATTATTAATAAAGCAAAAATGTAATTTGAAATATTTAATGCAAATAACTTGTAGTAAAGAATTATACTACTTGCAAACTTTAAGATTTATAATATTAAAATAAAATTTGTACTTAAATTATTCTAAAGTGTAGAAATCTTTTTTAAACAATTCAAAAAACTTCGAGCTATTTATAAATTTCCGAGAAAGATTTTAAAAAATCGTGAAATTATTTGATTTTAAATTTCTATGTTGTCTGATTATAGCTTGAAATCATTTTTGAAATACAGAAGTATTAAATTGGAATACTAATAAGCTCAATCAAGAAATTGGAAAAATTTTCATCTCGATATCTATTGAAATAATAGAGATATATTATATTTATCTCATTAATTGCTTATCACTTACCTTAGTCTTTCCCGAACTGGTTAAACCCACGAGGATTAATCCGTTACGCATCAAAGTAGTCTCGTACAGTTGCACTACCTTTCTCACAAAGTCTGTAATTAGAGTTACAGCTTCAATAGATTCTGCGAAGCATGGCCAGACAAGTTACGAAAGCTGTGAATGCCAGTATCGATCGAATTCGCGTTGTCATATTTAGCATGCGCTTTCAAATTGGATGCTTTTGTGCGAAGACACGTTGTGCACATTGCATTTATTTTTATAATTTCCATAATTTTGCGAAGTATTACCCCAAATATGTTCTTTCTTGCGTGATAAGAGGATGTAAAATGGATAATTATCATGAAAAATTAATAATAAGGTTCTCACTTTGTAAAAATTTATGCTCTCTTCTTTTTCTCTATATATATTTTTTAAATTATTAGCACAAAAGAATTTAACATAAAAAATATTTTTTCCATTATTGTAATATAAAAGTTTATTAAACAGTTATATGTATAGTAGTGGCTATTGCTTTATTATTCAATAAATATGTAATTTAATCAGTCATTGAAAAAATATGATAATGTTATAAAATTTTTTTTCTATTGATCTTATTGTGTGCAAAAGTATTTAAATTAAATTATTCATATTTAGATAATTTATATTACTGAATTAATATAATCAATTTCTCTTTGTTTGTATCGTTTATATTACAAGCTATAATAAAAAATCTGTACATCTATCTACAAAATCTCAATATTTATTTGCGTAATAAATACATGAGAAAAAAAGGATAAAAAAGTTTTCGTATAAATAAACCCTCCAATATCAATCATGTAACGTTATAACTGACAAATATTTATTTAATGTGTATAATTTCGTAATATGGAAGTGAGAGAGATTTTTGATGTAATTCAATATTTGGTTTATATGTATCTCTAATTAGTTTCTGTGTTTATGTTTAATTGCATGATTATAATATAATTGTTGTATATTATAAGCCATCTCCCATACACAAAAAATATTTTTGATGTAAATATTTAATACATTTTGTATATCAATTTTAATATATGTATAATAAATGTCCATATATTAACATTTTTTTTATTTTAAAAGCGTATAATAAAGCTATAAAAATAAATATTTTTATCGCGTGTTTATTGAAATATGTCGATTTTAATTAACTTTTTGTAAATGTAAAAAGAAGAGATAAATAATTCCTCAACCGCAAAACCGAGAACAGCTATTGTAGCTTAACAAGTATTATAATTTACAAATTTTTTTAAGCGCAAGCTGAATAAGACAACAAAAAGTTAAACTAATTTATACATTTAAATACATACTCTGCATATATACATAATTTGTGTTTAATTAAAAGAGAAGTAAAACACGTTTATATTTTAAAACACTTTCATAAATTTAAAATTTGTTTATGCATATGTTATGAGTTCTACTATTTATTATTGTGAAATATAATATTAATTACAAGTATAAATTTTATATTTTTTCTTGCTCATTAGTATATTTTCAACGTATCTCATCTATGCCTTTAAACAACATCATAATGGCACAATCAAAATTTATAAATATAAATTATATGATGAATTAAACCGAAGGTAAATATACATTGAAAAAGTTAAGATTTATCTTCTTCTTATAGTAGAAATATTTAAATTTCATAGAATTTATTTAAAACTAAGTTTTTTTAAATTTTTTAATTATTTAGCTTCTTTATTATTAAAATATATTTAAAATTGACTTTGCTTTTATATCGAGATTTAATATTGTAATATTTAAATTACAAAAAATACATTAAATGTACCTATATTATAAATAGAAAAGTACTCACCATCGACGTCTTCTAAACCCATTTGTCTAATAGATCTGCGGATGCCCGCCTCTAGGATTCCATAATCTATTGGTTTCTCGATTAGCTCTGGGAAGAGATCTGATACAATGTCTAAAAAAAAGAAGAAAAATAATGGGTGTCAACTTATTAATTCCTCTTTATACAGATATTATACAGATATGTACATAAATTATGGTACAAACGAAATTAATTTACTTAAAATATTACCTAAAAGGCAAAAAAAATGTAATAGTGTACATTTATATGCATATAACTTACTGTTAAATAATTTCAAATCGTCTTTCAAAAATTTGGGCATATTAAAATTTTTCAAGGCGCGTAGACAAATTTGATCTTCTTCAAGATCTTTCTGCTCTCTTTTCAAATTACCAGCAGTCACAATAACAGTCTTTACTGCATACATACCAAAGTCGTAATGCTCCTATCACATATTATATTTTAAATACAATTAATTAAAATCGCAACGTTAATTAATTCTAAAGCTTAACTAATTGGGAAGTAACATATCTAAAAGATCTTAAATGACAGAGGAATTTTCTTTATAAAGTAATATAAATTAATTATTTTAACATTTAATTTTTAATAAGTTATTAATTATTTATGACAATCTATCATCATAATGAGATAGTTATAATGTACCTTTTTATATATGTTTTGCACAATTCTATTATATATAGTAATACTTTTATAATTAAAACGTATATTATATTATTCTTTTCCAAAAAAAGCAGAAAAGAAAATGGCGAATAAAAATAAGAATACTTGTGAGCTTAGTTGTTCTGCGCTCAGCTTAAAAATCGTCGTGATTTTTCTGGCAAGATTTGCGGCATCCACGAAGCCATACGAGAATAGAGATATTTCAACGATGAGAGCATAATTTGGCATCATCATAGCAACCGGACGGAAAAGTACTTTCAAGTTGTCAGGTAACTCCGTTCGACCCGCATAACCAGGATTCATAGTAATGAATACAGCGCAAGATTGCTTCAATGTAAGTTCAACTTCTTCGAAGAGAAATCTGCGCGTTCACATAAAAAACGATATTTAAAAAAAAACAATACTTAATACCATTGTGTTCAGCAAATTCAAATCTATAAGATTCATTATCTTCTCTACGTTTCCATTAATGAGCAAAATACGCTTTTTTTTAAACATTGTTCTTTTATATGTGGAATTAATTAAAGAAAGAATTAAAACGTTTATTATTTCATTTTTGATACATTCACACAAGAATAAAGAGATTCTGTGCATCCGAATAGTTGATGTCGGCTCTGATAGACTTTCTTTTATATATTTTTCTGATAGAATTTTTCGAGCTTTATTTTATATATTTGTTTAATTAAAGAAATTATAGTAGTGGAATATATAAATATATGTATAAACGCGCGCATGTGTGTGTGTTTAACAATATTTTTACAAATTATTAATATTTTTTAAAATTAATAATTATTATCTATAAAATTAATTCCGTTATTAATATTACTTAACATATTAATTATTATTACTTTTATTAAATAGAAATATTATGCGTATTATTTTTCAAGCTATTTCACATTTCTGTACAATTTTATTATACTTTCTATTTAATAAAAGATTTACCATCTTTCGCGTATAAGAGACAGCATTATAGCAGCGAAATCGGGGATGTATAATATCCTGTATCATATACGTAATACGGCATACTCGAGTCCGAGCTTAGAAAATTGAGCGGTTGAAATAATTTCGACATTCCCTGTTTGCCTGTTATGCCGCTTCCTATAAGCGAAAGGTGGTAAATATCTCGTTAAGCAGAGTATATATGCGTTTCGCGGGTTATCTCTCCATATCCAGATTTATTAAAATGCCAACGTTTCGTTAACATTGCATTCACGAAATATTCTAATAATGGATCTAGATATGAAGGAGCCTAACAATGGATCTAGATATGAAGAAATAGACATAATCTGCGAAACATATAAATATTTTGCATGTTACAACTGAATTATCTAATATATAAAAGTAATATAATATAAATAAATAAATATCATTGTAAATTGTAAATTGTGATATCTGAAAGAAAATATTTAATTAATTGTATTGATGATAGGATCGAAGTGGAATAATAAGATTTGAATTATAAATACATTATAATACAAATTTAGTTATCTTTTGGCTTATTAAACGTTCTATATACAATATTATAAATTATTTATCGATTTGTAATTTATAGAAAATTAATTAAATTTCGTACATATGACAACTTGCTAAATTAAACAATTTTCATATAATAGAATATGACAGAACAAAGACAAGAAAAATATAAATTTTAATAAGTTTAAGAATTTTCCTTTATAAGAAGAATTTTAAATACATAATTATTTATTATACATAATTATTTATCTTTCATATCAAATGATTTATAATTAAATAACATTTAAATTTAAATTCTAATGACAACTTAAGTAGCACATTCCTAAATGATTATAAAATATTAAATACGTTAAAAAACATATAATATACATAATAAACTAGTACATGCTACTTAGGAAATTCTCTAAAATTATATGACAATTTAATACTCTTCTGAAAGAAGTTATTGTTAAATCCGTTCTATTATATAATTCCTAAATTGTGTTAAGCTATTTTATATATATTTCATTTACTTGTTTGTTCGTGTTTGCTGTGCTTTTTGAATGGTCATGATTTGTTGCGCTACAACGGATAAAACTTCGACATTGATTCGATTGAATTCATCGAAACACACCCACGCACCGGTGCTGTGTAACATTATAAAATGTTAGATTTAATTAAGTGCTAACTATTAAAATTAATTGATTTATGACGTTAACGTAATTTTCACGTTACAAAGTGCTAATGATATGTTATAAGTATGTATGTATGATAATACTTATAAATTACCTGGCAAGTCCTTTAAAAAATTTGCCCATAGATTGAAAATTCAGTTGATCAGAACAATTGAAAACTACGCATTGAATTGCGAATACTTTTGCGAGATCCTTTGTAGTTTCCGTTTTACCGGTGCCTGCCGGGCCAGTTAATGCACCACCGAATTTCAAATGTAATGCACTGATAAGAGTGAGGTAGCAACGATCGGTCAATGGTGTAATCACCAATCTTCCATTATTACCTAAATATTCGTATCTACAAAAAAACATAAAAAATATAATAACTTCAATAATGTAGAATTTATTAATAATACATTCCCATTGAAACCAAATTATAAAGAGTCAACAAACAAGGTAAGTGATATAAAGACATTAATTAATTAGAAAATCAACTTCAAATTAAATTATAAATTAACATTTCGTTAGCGCACATGTTTTGCTACTTTTACGTATAATACATAGGTACAAATTCGCACCACGTAACTTTGACAGTTCATAACTCCACTCACAAGATAATTTAATATATTTTTTTAGAAGAAAAAAAAGGTAAAGAATAACTTTGCCTCAGTTATGTAAATGTTTTGGAAAGTTATGGAAATAATTATCGAATAATTAGTAAAAAATCTGTTAAACTGAAATTCTGAAAAAATTACATTTTTTGTAATATAGTCGCTATTTTATATAATCATGTTATGTTAGAATTTAAAAATTCAAACTCTGTGTTTACCGGACTCCTCGAGGAAGATTTTAACTTCAGTAATGTTCTCATTTTCTTATATGATAAACGCTATAAAAAGAAAAATACTGTTAAACTAAAAGAAAAATATTTAAGAATACATATTTTATATGGAAAATACATATTTGTATGGAGAATACATATTTTATATGGATATTTAAAGTTGGTAATATGGCTTCAAGAAAGAACTTCTTATTTAAATGTTATATTCTAGGAAATTAATATGAGAGCTTTATTAATATAAGATCTTGTAGTAATATTCCTTCCATATCCAAAATAAAGCACTAAAGAGGTACTCTGAAGTAGTATCTGTATCTTAAATCGAGTTTAGGAATGTAATTAGAGTGTCAGATTCGTAGAGACAACGAGCAGTCGTTAAAGAGCAGATTTCCTTGTCTAGTACAGAAGAGGTAAATAATTTCGGACAAGCGCGTAAGTTTTAATCTATTTACAAACTTTGTTATTTTGTTAGCTACATACTTGTTTTAGTGCAATAATTCAATACATTATACATTATTATAATATTTCTATAAAATTCAGTAAGAAAGTTAATATATTTAAACTTATAAATTATTTCTCTTAAAAATTATCATTCTATTGAAATCTTTAATTACATTTAACTTTTTTTTGTCAAAATTAATTTTAAAATTTATTAACAGTTGTATCTCTTTCCTTGATAGTTTTGGTAACATTTATCATATAAACCTACTCGTATGGAAATTCAGCATTTATCGCGCGAATCTTCAAATCCTTGTTATTAACCCAATAATATCGTAATTGAGAGATCCACTCAAATTCGTTGATATCGATTAATCTCTCTTGAATCAATTTATATAAAACATCCTTGGCGTGAATTTCAATTGTCATTACGGCTTCCAGTATTAATCTTTGTACTTCAGTTTGCGGACCACGTATTAACTTTTGCAATTCTTCTAGCTATAAAATATTATTCAAGCGTATACTGTTGGGCCAATTATTCATTACTTATTAGAAAATAAGAAAAATAATTTAATGTCTTTAATGAACAATATATGAACATATGTACGCAGCTATCTCTTTATTTTCTCAAGAAAAGAAGTTTTCGATTTAACGCTCATTAAAATTATGCTCATTAATATTATGAACAGTATAAAGCTTCAAAGAATCGAGTTGACCCTTTGCTTTGAGTAACTGTTGAATTTTTTATTGCATAAGAGAATGTCACTATACTAGAGAGGTTGTTGAGAGATGCATTTATTTAATGACTTTTAAATAAAATAATGCAAGTATAAAGAAATATAAGCAAGAAAGAAAAAACAAGAAAAAGATATGCTTTTTAATACAATCGATTTTAAAATACAACACGTTTTAATGTTTCTCGAGATTTTTAAATAAAAGCAAAATATAACAAACACTTATTCAATTTGGATGAAAATATTAGCGATTCACTGTAAACACACAAGCACTGTTTATCTTATAACATAACGATGTAACGTATAATACATACGTGTAGCAACATGTAATTATAATAATCGGGCAGAGTGTTGTTTGTGATACTTTCCTCCACGTGGGCAGTCCAATGTATTTGACCTCCGCAAAGAACTACTTGACCCGGCCACATGTACACCCATTCCTTTCGCGGTGTCGTTTCTATTATTTCGAGGGCCTCGCCGATGATCTCTCGCAGGGTATTGCGCATTGCATTTTCAACTTGTCCTAACCAATCCTCCACATTTCCTTCAGGATAAATCGTTGGTCGTAGCACAACCTCTTCGTATTCGGCAGAATACATCCTCGTTATCCTAAGATCTGAAGTCTCAAATCTCAATTCCTCCATGTTTTCAAAACACTTCTTTAAATATTGTTGGATCGCTTGAATGTGCTTGCACTCAGCGATTATTTTCAGAAGTTCATCGTTGCTTAGGAAGAAGAAGCGTGGAAAAATCATTCGTTTAGTCTCCAAATAATCAGACAAATCTTTCTTAATAATTTCTAGGATCAAGAGACATTCTTTCAAAGTTGATAATAAGATTTTATCCGCACATGTTTCAATTACCTGCATTATGTATAATAAAGTTTTTAAGAAAATTTTTATTTAAATATTTATTATCTATATTTATATATATTATATTATATATTTATTATTTACATCTATTATAAAATATCTGTTTTCTTTCTTTTTCTTTTTTTCTCTCTCTTTCTCTCTTTTTTTCTTTAATATTAAAGTTTTATAATAAAACATTTTGAACGATAAATATCGTAAAAAAGTAGCTAAATTTAGCCAATGCAAGTATGTTTTTAAAATATAATATCATTTTAGAAAAATAAATAATGGAGAATAAAATAAACAATATGTGGAAATTATTTATATAATTCATGTTTAAAAAAAACAATGTTATATTTCAAGAATATATTTACATTGATAAATAAATTAGAAAATTTAAAAGAACTTTAATTACACGTGCGTGCGCTTTGCATATTAAATTAAAGTTAACAATAAAATAGATTAAAAAAACTAATTGAATATTATACTGGTTCATCATGTATTTTTTGGATATAAGATAAATGATATTTTATTTAAAATTATTGAAACTCTAATACGTTTATAAAATGGTAAATGCGCGTAAAATATTAAAATAAATATAAATATTAAAATAAAATTTGTATTACATACATATGGGCAATCACGAGCGTTTCTCATAATTCGCTCCAAGTTGTGTTCCACCGTATTAAATTTATGCGATTCTACAGGCAACTGTCGATTAATATCTTCAGATGCAAATATTAGTTCTAAATACATCCATTGCCTGTGTATACAAAATCAATGGGAATATATCCTAATGTAATAACAAACAGAAATCGAGAGGTGAGTGTTACTTTTGCACTTCCACCCATAGAACGATCACTTCCTGAACTAATCTCAATTTAGCTTCCCACTCATCAATTTGATTCTCGAAAACAGCTTTAAAAGGATTAAAACTAAGATGTTTAATTTTAAGTAAATCATCGTCCAATAAAGTAATAATCTCATCGGAAATCTTCATAATATATTTATCTATACAAAAAGATTAAGTACTATTATATATGATATGATACAAACAAAAATTAATATATTATTTATATTACAAAGAGTCTAATGTATCAAATTATGTTTATATACATGTTAATTTTAACACTATATATGTAAAGAAAATATTCTAATATAAAACATTTTAATATTTATTTTTTAATTTAATTAATTCCATCTTTATTAAAATACCAAATGACAAAAATATTGATGTTAAATTTTTAATTTCTAAAATATATTTTTTTATAATTTATATTGCTTTAAGATCATATTTCTAATTTATAAAAGATATAATAAACGTAAAACGTAATATTTAATGCATGAAGTTGTTTGAAATAAATTTAAATGTTTATATAAAATGTTTTGCGTACCTTTATAAGGAAGAACATCCATTGTAATTGTTTTCCAATCGGTTATCATTTTATCCAGTGTACTTTCTATTAAAAATTCTTTTGCTGCTGTGTCTGCGATAGTCTTCACAGTTTCCTTGTGTTTCATTATATTAAGACCAAGTAAATTCTTAAAAGATAAAGTTGGCATGAGTTCCATTTGTATGCCAATTTTTTTATTAAGTTCTTCAAAGTGCCGATTTTTCATTCCTGGATATCGCAAAGCTTGTATCACGCTGATGTATGGTTTAAATGCTTCGATTTGATCCATTATAGTGACTGCTATAGCCATCATCTCTATAATCCATGAAAAAAACATTAATAATTTCTTTTCTCTATGTCATATTCAAGTTTTTTGCGATTTTTATGATATAAAATTCATGCATTTAAAATTCAACAAATTTTCAGCAATATATCAACCTACTTGAATTTTCTTGAAATTCTTTTACGCAACGCGATATTGCTTTGTACATATCGGCAGTCATATTTTCGATTTGATTCGCATCGAAACTTACCAGAGGATTTTCCATCCATATTTCCTGCCAGTTTAACCAATCTGCGTTTAAGTATATAAAAGTTTTAATTTGACATATTAAATTAATAAAATTGCTAATTTAAAATTAAACATTTTATATATTTTTATATAATATTAGTTACCAGATCCAGTAATCCATAAGATTTGGTAAGGTTCGAATTCCTTTATTAATGTATTTAATTGTTCATACGGCACAACATCCATGCCAAATAATTTTTGCCGTTCATTCAACAATAAACCAAATTCTTGACATTCTTTCATTATTTTCGAAATCCTTTTTACATCTGCAGCTATGTCATGTATTTTCTTAATATCTGTTTGTAGTATCACATTTACAATGGTTCCCATGAGTGTGTCAATCCTCTCTGATAAAAGAATTTCTTCTTGTACTTGTACTTTATGAAATTTTTCATATTCACTGACAAAGCGATTCTTTGCTTCTTCTATCTATATTATTCATAATGTGTGAAAAAAATTGACACATAAAATATTAAAAATGATATAAATATAATAATTTAATTAAAGTAATATATTGCTATCTCTTCTTTAAGAAATATATATAATACAATGGCTTTTTAAATTACTAAATAACTGTAAAATAAGTTAATTATTTACATTTATTAAACATTTATTATAAAATGTAGTATGAACATTTATTAGAATTTCAATTTATCAGTTTCAAATATCTTTTCTTATTATTAACATTCCTTAGGCAATATGAAATTTTCAATCATAATTTATAATCTGGGTTATTGAGTCCACAATAGATCTTTATTATTGGACTAAAAATCTAAAAAATTCTTGTATATTCATTTCATTATTCTGTTCATAAAAGTATTAAAGTACTATTATTAAAAAATTAATAACAAAAAATTAATAACTTACAAAATATTTAATTCTTTATGTTAATATGTGTCAGAATAAAGTATAAAATATTTTGTAAATTATTTGTAGGTATCTCTTAACACTTTTACATGCAAAATAATTAGAAAAATCACATTATATTAAAAAAAAAATCATAATTTCATTAAAAAAAAACAAAGTTTATCTTGAAATCTTTGAAGCAAATCTGGATAACAATTTTTATTATACGATAGCCTTCTTTATATCGTACAATTTTGGTTGCACAAATTTTCTTCTATAAATTTGATAGATAAGATAAAGATATTTAAGATAGTAATAGTTGAGACATCCTGTATATTGGTATGTCTTTATACAAAGCAAATCTTACACATAGCTGCACTTGTCGCGGAAAACCGATAGCTTGCCATTTGATTTCAAAGTCTTTATCGGATAGATTCCACCAGAAGTAATCAAGAATATCGTATTGAAATTTCAATTTTTGTACAATTTCGTCCAGTTTTTTCACTCTCACTGGTACAGTTTCTATCCAATCCTGTTCTTCGAACAAATGTTCAATATTGCGTGATGCCATCTTTAGCCTCGTTCTAATCTGCACGTAATCAGATAGAACGACATTGATCTTTGTTCTTAAGCTCTCGGTAAACATAATAAGTAACTGTGTGTAACAGTTCTGTCGTTTCTGTATAAGAAAGTTCCTGAGAGGACGGACATTCACGTAGAAAGGTCCTATGACAATATCTTTTGGAAGTGTGAGCTCGAGGATCGATTTCATCTTAAAGTGGAAGGATACTTCATCTCTGATCTCCGCAATAGTGTGGTCTGCTTTTTTGAAATTCCTGAAAAAAGTGATGAAAAAGATAATTGATATTTTTCGGCTTTGTTAATTAATCGCGTTGCCTTCTAATTCAGAAATCCAATTAAGTATAGTTATCTGATATCGCCTGAAGCGATCTGAGCTCACTCCACATATTTTTCGACATCCAGTTTGTAAAATTCTAAATATTGCTGATATTCCTTCACGTATGCCTTTAGAGATATTGTAGACTTCTGATAAACAGTCCTCAGGCGTTCTCGAACTTCACAAACCTGTTCCTCTAGTAAGTCGACCGAGCTGAGATACAGATCTTCGGTAAATGTCAGGAAAGGTAATAAGAAAGGATCAACTTTTCCAATTTTTTGGCACTGCCTCAAAGAATTGTCTAATATAGCTATAATAATTTCCTGAAATAAATTAATTTATTAAATATTTTAATGCTTACAATTAGACGCATAATTTATAGTAAAATCAATTAATCTAATGGATTAATATAAAATTAACATTAAATATAATTTGAATGTGTGTACATTACATTTTGAACATTCTTTGATAAAAATAATTGATTAAATCTTTAATTAAATAAAGAATCTATAAATAAGTGATTTGATTAGATAGTTTAAATAAACGTAAGAAAATAACCGTATGTTTATCCATACCACAAATGATTCAAGATCCGTTAAATAATAAGCAGTTTTGTCATTCATAGCAATATCAATAATAAAGATAGGATTCACTGGAGATTTAAAGTGTGTGTTTATCAGATCATCACCCCACACAAAATTTTCATCCACATTTAATGTACAAAGAGCTGGAGTTTCCAATATTTCTAAGTATAAGGCCATCGATTTCTTCACAAGATCCCGAAGCGCATCCTGCAGCAACAGATAAAATAATATGATTAATGTCAAATTGTATGTAGAAAATGAATCTTTATGGATTATAAGAGATTATATTCAATAAATTGCAGATAAATCATAAATATACATCATATTCAACATAATTTGTCAACTAAAATAAATAAATAGTATTGTATATCAATATTTATTTAAATTTATGTTTACTTAATTGTAATCCTGTTTATAATTTTTAATACAAGAATTGGCTTTTTTATTTTCTAATAAATTTTTATAATAAATATTTTTTTCTTTATCTGTTTATATAAATAATTTCTGAAAATCTCTATTTTAAAAATCTGTATTTTTATTTAATTGATTATAACTGATTGTGTGGTGTAATTAGATTAATATTTAATATTTCTATAATGCTATTTTTATATTAATATTCCTATTAATTTTAAATAAACATGCAATTCAAGCACATATTTTATTACACATATTAAAAGTAAAATATATTAAATCAAAACGTATGCAATTAAATACTTTAAGATATACCTGCATTCGATATGTAATAAGAGACACAAATCGTTTCAATTTTATTATATTGGATTCATCATGGTTCTTTTGCTCAAGATCGAACCATTCTTGTTCGATATCTCTGAAACATCGTCTAACCGACTGTATAATCCTTTCCAACCATGTTTCTTTCAGATACTTTATCACTGTACCAGTCTCTTGCTGCTGCTGCGACTCGAACTCTAACAAGTACATAGACTTTCCATAATTCGAGACAAAGAGATTCATATTCAATATGTTACTGCATTCGACGGTTACACAACTCATAGCTTCGTATATTTCCGGCAAAACGTACAAAACTGTCCAGCAGAAAAAATTTTTTGTTTTCTGCAATAAATCGTAATCATATTTTTTGAATAAAATGCCTGTCTCTTGTGAAAAAATATTAACGGATTAGTGAAAAAACTATTGAAACAAATAGTATACAATATTCGATGATGGCTTTTCAATTATTTCCAACCATTATATTGCGAATCCAGTAGTATTTTCTCATAAAGGATCAAACGCAAATATTATATGTAATTCTTTGTAAATACCGTAAAGTCTTCCATTTCAGTGCAAAACTTTCCCATTTCTGGTATTTTAAGTTCATAAATGTCATTAATTTCATTCCACGAAATGAAATTAAACATTTCCGGCTGTTCCCATATAAGGGATCTCCACATAAGATCACACATGACGCGACGATATTCCAAAACAGCTTCAGCCATCAACTAAATATTAAAAAAGTAATTAATCAGTAACTGAAGAAGATAAATAGGAAATGTACCTACGTTGGAAAGATGTTTGGATTCAGATTTCGCAAAACTTTTTCGCGTGGTTAACAAAACTATAACTTCCTGTTGTTTTTCATCCAGTGTTGGCATATCTTCTATTAGCATGCAGTCCAAATAAAAGTAATACCTACTTATTATATAATTATTGTAAAAAACATTTAAATCACACAAATTCTTTTTGTTAAAATCATTAAAAAATCCGGAATTTATTATCTGTGTTTGTGCATGATGTTCTAAATTTTTTCTCAGATTGCTTTTAAGAAAAAGTAAACTTTGAATGTTGGTAAATTCATATTCTACTTTCGTTACGTGAAATAGATATTTTAAAAGTTATATAACAATATGTAGCGTTACCATATTAAACCAATACTTTTATGAAATGTTGAAATATAAGAAACTAACACCAGTTTTATTGAAATTTCTTTTTAGTTATACAACGTACCTCATATTTGTGTCTTTTTAAATTATTATTATAAATAAGATATAATACAACAATATTAAAGTACGAAATATTTTAACCTAATAAATTAACCTGATACTAGTCTTCGCAATTTGTTTTTGTTTAATAGCACCAGCCACTCTCTTGGCAAATTTTTTAGGATCTTCTGCAAAAAATTGAATATATATTCTAGGCAGAAGGAATTTTCGCTTAAAACCGTCTAGAGTGAGGACAGTCCACAATTTCTGTTCGTTATTGTAATCCATAACGGCGGCATGAAACCAATCGAACGAATTATTGAGTGTATTATAGTGATTAATCCATTTCTTATCTATAATCTTTTCGACAAACACTCTGGCTGGTAACGGATAACGAATACCATTAATGATACCCAAATTTATCCATTCTTCTGTCGTTCTGTTGCAAAATAAAAGAAAATTATATGTTACAATTACGAAAACATTATATATATTAATATATTATATTATATATAGCAAAAAATATTTTTTAAGAAATATATAAATTAATTGTAAAATATATATCGCTTATAGAAAAAGATATCTTAAAACTTAAATCTTTAAAAAATAATTTTTAAACAAAATTGTGTAAACAAATATTTTCAATAAGTTCGAATTTATATATATATAAATTTTAAACACATAAATTTAAATCTTTTACTTTTACATTTTAATGTAAATTTTAATAAGCATAAATTATCTCTGCTATACAAGGTTTTGATGGTGCTTCTGTAAAGCAAAAGCTCCACTTGACATGCTACTCGAGTCGTCAGTTACCTTAATATTTGTTATAATATATTAAATTTTATTCTCTAGTATAAAACTACTATAAATTTATTATCATAGATAAATATCAAATACATGAAATTATATTTATATTACAAGCTTCTCTTGTGCTATTCTTTACTATAATGTGTTTCATATCGGCGTATAATGTTATCGTATATTGTTATTGTATAATGTTAATTATATGCAAAAAGATGTTTTTTTTTACTATTTAAGTTATTATTTTTTACTTAGAAGAGCCTTTTATGGATTATTTTGCAGTACAATTAAATAATTATATAGATAATAAGAGAATAAGATAAAAAATAATTATATAAGAGATAAGATAAGAAAAAAGATCACATAAATAAGAAAAGAATGTCATTTTTGATCAAAAACAAAATGACAATATTGAAATTTCTCTAGAAATCTTTCTCTAGAAATTAGAAATGAGATAACTGACAAGTAATATTTAAATACTTTAAAAATAGCAATATATGACGAGCAATTAAGTTATTGTAGAATAACGAATTTCTCACCTACAATCATATTCTTCATCATCAAACAATTCCAATGGTAAGTAACTTGTCTTAGAATATAAATCATACTTCTCTTTGTCGGAAAGTAATGGCCAAATTTTCTCAAAAGGTAACATGTCACATGACTTGATATTCTCGTCTTTTAAAACATCTTCTATCTTAAGATTTTGATATATTTTTCGTCTTCTTTCCCTTTCGATATTACGCAGTGGAATCTTTGAATCATCAGTATATGCCATTTGTACTTTTGGTAAAAAGGTTTCCGCCGGAAATACCTTCATTCATAAAGAAACAAAAATTTTGAAAATTTTTAAATATTTACAGGTATACGTTTTATTGAAAACAAAATCTTGCAATCTATGAATTTATATATTAGGTGTTGGAATTAATTCGTAGCGTTTTTTAATGAAAGAATGTTATTTATTTCACATGAGCATTAAAAAATACATTAATGAAAGTACTTCCCATCACTTGTAAAACGCTACGAATTAATTCCAACACCTAATACATTTATTAAATTAGATACAAAGATAGATATAAAATAGAAGGAAATGTTAGAAATAGAAATATAACTATAGATCTTTCACAGTATAAATTAGAAAATATTTCCAACTTTATGTATACATTTCTTCCTATAAAATATATAGTCAATTTAAAATTAATACATCCCTTTATATCGTACTAATTTAACAATATAAGAGATATTATTGATAACGTAACAAATCTTCAAATTAAATCAAGCAATTGCTTTTACATGATTATGTACTTGCGTACGATAGATTTGTCTTCAGGGAAAGTTATCCATCGCTTAGCAGCGCCAAGAAAAATTTGCGTTTTTTGTACTTTAAGACCTTCTACAATCGGACAGTACTGTTCCGTGAGAATTTGTGATGCAAGGTTGGTTCTTCTTGAAGCAGAAGGTAGGTCAACTGATTTTGTACCTGTGTGAATTATTTAATATAATTAGTATGCTTTATGATCAAGCATGCTTTGATCTCAATTAAGTATGATATAATTGGCAGAATATTAATGAAATATTACCTAATATAATATCTGAATAATAATTCCTTCTAGAAGGTCGAGTATCTTTATCTTTGATATCTTTAATATCCATTTTTTAAATGCTTAATAATGTACACATGCTATCTCTAATGATGTGTTAACCAAGGACTCTCTCTCTTTAAAATGATAAAAATAAATTAATCTGAGCTAACGAGAGTCAACGCGGAAGGAGATGCGCAATAAAATTTTATCCTCCTTCTGCGTTGACTTTCATTAGCCCAGATTAATTTGTTTTTGCCATTTCTAATTTATTTTTGATTCTTTAAATTTTAGTCATTAAATTCTAACATGGACATTTCGATTTTCATGTTACAAGAGCGAACTTGTTCTCCACGAAGTTTGTTGTTTGATGCGATTGTATGTTGTTAACATTAGTTAAAGATAATAGTTCAGAGAGCTGTCAGCGCTGTTCAATTAGAGTTCCTATGTTTAGTAAATGTCATTCTATCACACAATTCATTAAGAACACCTCTAGACATGGCTAATGTATACGCCAACTTCGCTAAATATTGATCTACATTCAGTATGGATAATTACATATGTCATGTATGTATATGACATTTGCTTATGTGACAAACATTTGTTATATCGTCTGGAGGCGCCTTTAAATGTAAAACGTAATTTAAATATAGAATGACAATAGCGCTGACCAATTGACATAGCGTGCACCATATAATTTTAATTACATAATCTTAAAGTCTTAAAGAATTAAAATAGAGACTTTATTTTATTTTAATTCTTTTATAATAAAAATTTTTTTGATCAAAATCAGGATTAATTGTCATCTCAGACAATGCTGGTGAATTACAATGAATGAATGACAATAATAAATTTAAAATGTTTACATGTTCATTATTCATAATTTTATTTTTTAAATGTTTATTTTTATTATTGATTTTACCTTTTTATGAAAATATAATTTCCCAATATTTTATCAAAATGCGTTGATTGTATCTATTTATGTAATATTTATTTAATTTGATATTAAACATTTGATACTGATTTTATATAATAACTTTAATTTTTTGCAATGGCAATTATTTAATCAGCGTTCGGTATTTCAGTACTCACTGAATAATGTACCGATAGTTACACAATTGCTCCGATGATAATTCTTTCATGGATATGATTTGGTAGAATATAACAGAAAATTTCATTTTTGTATAAAACAAATATTAGAAGAAAAAAAGTACTATTAAATGGGTATTACATTGCTTTATTTATATTTACTTAAATTGTAATATATTAATTAACATATTTGCTGCTGCTAAGAACAATAATTATAGATCAATCTTCATTACTTTGAAAGCTTGGTAAACATTTTTACTAAAAATTAAGTTTTGCTTAAAATTTATTTCTTACGTATCTATAACCAGTATCATTATTATATTATTCGTAGAGAAATTATTAGAATTATCAATATAATATAAAACAATATATAACACAGATAAAAGTATTCCTACAGTAAGTAACATAGAATTATTAACTGACGATAACCGTAAAATAAATATAACTCTTTCTTTAATTTCTCTAGTATAAATGAAAATATTTAAAACAAAATATATATATATATATATATATATATATATATATATTTTTCAAACATTGCTTATTATTATTTTTTTTCAAACAATAGTGCAACATCAAAATGACGAGTCATGCCTCATCATTAAAAAAATTACGAATTATATAGATTAAGTACAGATATTTGAGCTTGCTGTCTTATAAATTTTTTATCCTTTTTGATTAGTGCTGTATATTTTCATTATAGTAATATATGTCCATTTAACGTTGATTTCTTCCACCGTGCTTTATTCCGACTTTCCGAGAATCAAAATTCGTAAAATATCGAGCGTAAATAACAAAATGTTATGAATGTAATCCCAACATAAAGCATGAATCGGTCGAATTGCACACCGTGAAAAAGAAATTGCGCATACGTACCGAGGGCACACGCATAATAGGATCGTTCTTGAATGATACTTAATGAACTTGAATGCCTTATGGCAAGTGATATCACCCGCAATGATCGACTCTTACGCTGCGGATCAGCAGATGCTAAGAAGAAAAGGTATGACTCCGCGCATAATTCGTAGATTAATAGCAGACGTCAGTGGATAGTTTTATTTGGTTGATATTCCATGATTGTTTTTGATGGTTTCAAAAAAACATATTTTTCTATAGTGTTGTGTTGTCTTCTGTATAATATCAGCTTTTCTAATATAATTTCCATAAATTCTTTAAACTAAAAGTATTTTCAGTATTTAATAAAAAAAATATGTGATTCAATACATTACCGTGCAAAAAGTATTATTTGCTCATTCTGTCTTTCTTAATTAAATGGAGGAGAATGAATTTCTATTTTTTTCCTGCTCTTCTAGATGTGTGTGTGTGTGTGTGTGTGTGTGTGTATGTGTATAGAATTAAATTATTAAGTCTAACACACACACACATACACACACACATACACATCTAGAAGAGCAGGAAAAAAAATAGAAATTCATTCTCCTCCATTTAATTAAGAAAGACAGAATGAGCTGTCTTATATATATATATATATATATACATACACACAAATACACACACACACACATACATACAGAGGAATGCAATAGAATTATAACGGAATTTGTATTATAAGAAAGTAAAGAAAAATTGGGATGGGCAAATACTTTTTTGAGCGATAGTTATCTACCTATAAGTGCAGTCTATTTTAATTTGCTTTTTCAACACGAGTTAATGAATTTTCATCGGACAGACGGACGGTCGGTTTCGCCATGCAAATCCGCGCGAGAGAGCAGCGTTACGGCGCGGAGCCATCCGGATAATCCGTTGCCGCTTTCGCACGTGGGCGGGACAGGTCGCGCATGTGTTCATTATCAGCCATGCGTTGCCATCATTAATATCGAGAGCGACGCCTTATACAGAGCGCATCGTGCATCGCGTCTAACAGATGCCGTCGTACACTCTACACCGTGGCCGGACGCGCGCGTCCACGCGAATCTGAGCTACGTTCGATTTAATTAACGCCTCCTAATCCCGGTTGCGAACCCTGCAATTCGCATGCTGAACGATCCAGATCATAATTTAATCAATAACCGAGAACATGCACATCAGCGTAGACCCGACCTCATCATGCGTGTCGCGGATTTGCATAATCGCATAAATACACTTTAGGAAACCACGTTAGGATAACAGTTGGTTTAGCCAACGTGTCAAGGAGTTGATTCCAATCACTTTTAATTCTTTCGCTTTCAAGTTTCTTATCATAAATGTATGTTTCCTCTTTATTTATAATACGCATTGTTTATCTCCAAATATTTAAAGAAAATTGAAGATTATTTTTCCCAGCAAAAGTCATCGCTTAGAAAATAATTTTATCTGTATAAATAAATGATCAAAGAACAAAAATGTATAGACAGCTAATAACAAAGAAAATTACTGAATTTTTTGCAAAAGATTAATCTCTTTTTGTTTTTATTATTTATACTTAAAGTATTTAGATATTAACAAATTAATAACTAATTTCTGTATTTATAAAAATATAATAAATTAATTGATAAAGTTATTTAGTAAAATTTACAATTTTTATTTCTTATAATAAAAATGTGGAGAATAATTTTAAAAAATTTTAATTTATAATTTAATTAAGAGCAAATACATATAAAATATAATATATTGTAAATTTTGTCTTTTGTCATTTCACTAATATTTCTTTTCACTAATATTTCTTTAAACTAATTTTAATTTTAATTCAACTTAAATGGAAATCTAATTTATCTTTTCATCACTAATATGTTAAATAAATAATTAAAAGTTTAAAATATTACACATAATGTACAATATTGCATAAGTTTTTTTAATGTTTTTAACATATATCAATTTTCAAGAGGATGTGTCACCGCATAGAATTCATTGACCGTTAAGTTGACTGTATGAAATGACGCAATTTTTACGAAATGATCGTTCAACGTGAAAATTCTTGTCGCAAGCCGGAGATTGCATTCGCGTCGCGATGTCATGTCACGCGACATGCGCGACGTTCATAAGTGCTTTCGCAACAAAGTGCACTTCGTCAGTGCTCTCTCTAGCGGCCCACACGTCACTGACCTTGGAAAAGGTCCACTTTGAGAACTGGACGTAGCTCGGGCGCGTGGGTCGCTATCGAGGACGATCCGTGAAAAATGTCGGAGTCACTCGGAGTGTTGGACAGGTTTTGGTGACCGCCAGAGCTCGAGAGAGCTACATTGCTCCGCCGTTCATCCCTAGATGGTGATCCTGAACAGGCTCGTTGTTTCACCATGAGAAGTAGCGTGTGTCTCGCGAATGAATGCATATCAGTGCAACTAAATTATGCGCGCTTCTAGAGCTCGTTTAAGCTCGGGATACTGCTGGTACTTGACAGATGTGCACGTCCTTTTATGCGTTCATGTCTGCTGTCTCTGTACGGCGAGTTTATTACAGCGGATACCGTACGTAACGAAAGTTTATAATAAATTTTTTACATATTAAAAAATATGATAAGATTAATATTAAAATTTGTATATCTTAATTTCTGATTAGCAGAAATCCTATTCAAAATATGCTAACAATATAACATCACATTTTATGTTCTGTGAGTTACATTAATTTTGCTATTGGAAGATAAAAATGTAGCAAATTAGGAAACCATAATGCAACGATATTCAATATTTATACGTAAAATTATTTCTCAATTCATTTAATTTAATTTCTAAGAATAATTTATTTTGTTAACTATCTGTAATATATCAATCATTTGTATCTTGTATTTTGCTGTAAAAATTTTATGATAAGGAATAACACAATTTTAGAACAGTATTACGTTTCATTCAGCAGTTGGACATTGTAGTGTGTCCAACATAAACGAGATTCCGCCATACTTGCGCTATATCCTTAGGGGCAAAACGCAACAGTGTTACGCACGGAGAATAAATTTACATTCACGAACGGCGGCGGCTTTCAACGAGTTTGCTAGATAAAGGCGGTTCATTATGTGCCGCATTTATTACCCAATGGCGGTTCTCGATCGCCTCGCGATTGCCTTTAATCCCGTCGTCGAGATCGGATCTCGCCGAGATCTCGCGTAATCGCGTTACCAAGGACCTGTACGTAAAGTATCCTCGCGGCCAACCGTCGCACACGCATTCTCGTTAAAGCGCATTGAGCGTTACAATGTTCGTCATTTGGTGCAAAACTCAGGTCAGGGATGCAGAAATTGATGCGTCCATGAATGACGCGCGATGCATGCAACCAATTTGCGAAATGCAAAGTTATGTTCGAGAACGTCATCCATAATAGTGTTTTTAAATCATTTTTATGCATGTATATCTATACGTAATAAAACACTTCTAAATGAAATGAAGAGAGCAAGACTTAAACAAATGAAAGAAGCAAGAGATAAATATAAATATATATATATATATATAACATGCGTTCATTTTAACATTAATAATTATGGTAAAGGAATGCAATAGAAAGATATTTCCATCAAAACAATTGAAATTGTAGGCAAATTTGCTTCAAGACAGATTGTCGCCCAATGCTACATACGAAAAAATCGAAAAGGGTGTTGCATTATAATAAATATATATATATGTAAGGTAATAATAATTATTATAACATCACATATGTGTATAATTGGTAAATATTATCATATAAATTATATATTGCAAACAAATAATATAATTATAACACTGATAGTCTTTTTATATATAAAAAATTTAGTATAATTTAATATTATTCTCATTAATTGTTAATCGTACATTATTCAAAGAGCGTCTGAGTGTAAATTATATAGTAGTAAACTAATTATTGCTTTGAGTTTAAAATTGTAACAACAATATTTTTATACGTCACAATTTCGATAATCTTGAATAAGCAAACGCGATTAACGATTTTTATAAAACAGGTTTATGAAGTCGTAAGAACAAATGTTTCACGAACAGTGAAAGCTTCACGAATCTGTCTAGACACACATGAAACTTTTACACTTCGTATATCTATCAATATGTACAATACGCATATTGCATGTATGTGCATATGTATGTGCTCGAGCTCAAAGTTAATCTGGATTAACCGGTCTTGAGTTCTTCGCGGAGATAAGGGGAAGAGAGAGGTAAAAGGGGTTGTGAGGCGGGACAAAAATCGAGATCAAAGAAATATGCCCTCTGGAGAGAAGAGGCCAACCTCTCTCTCGGTTCCAGCGTATTCTCGTTCAATTTTCAAGTCGCAATGGTAGGTGCATCGGAGTCAAAGTGCATTGTTGTATGCGACGCAATGGAGAACTTCTCTCTTTTTCTAGCCTGATAATTATGTCAATGACGATCGCATGAATGAAGAATGAGCAATTGAACCTTTTGAATTACACGTGTAATTTTGAAAGAACAATCTTTGAAAATAAATAGATTTAGATGAATTTTAAGAGTGTTTTAAACTTGCAGTATGTGTTACTTGTAAAAAGCGTCGTCTCTAGTCTTAAATTAAACTTTAATAACAAAACAATAAGATAGGAAAAAATTTACAAAATTTTTATGGCTAAATTGAAAAAGAAACTCCTTTAATTAAAATATAAAAGCAACTATTGGTATAATGGTTAAATTATTAGGTGTTGGAATTAATTCGTAGCGTTTTTAAAATATTTATTTTAAAAGTTAAATAAAAAAAGGCTATTGCATTATTTACTTATATAGATTCAAATAGATTTATATTCAAATAGATTTTTAAGTAGAAAAATTTCCAGAATTTAAGATTATTAAGATATTTAACATTATATAAGAATGTATGAGAAATTATAATAAATGTTGATTTTGCTGGACAATTTCTTCAAAAATTTGACTTTTATTATTCAATCGCTAGAAATTAAGCGGATGCAAAGTCACGAATACGATCTCTAACTCGATTCCTCCACTCTTTGATAACAAAATTTCATAGTAAGCATGACTTACGCCATTCTTATTCTAATCGCGCGAAGCAGATGGCCGATCTCGTGCACATCCAAGCGATTTAAACCCTCTTCTTTTTAATTATCGCTTCTTGATGGACGTCACGTAAGGCACCGCGTTGAAGCTGCGCGATGCGCAGTCCGATAATGCTCAAGTATAATGTATAATAAATCATGAGGGGGTGATCTTCGTACAAAGTGTGATATATCGAGTTTATTATAACAGATGTTCGACACGATCTTCATTACGAGACGAGTGTAATGTAAAAGAAAATCCCGATTTTATTCTGTCATATTCTATCTCAAGGCCGCGAATGATCTTTGCTATATCATTTTCGATTTTTATAATCATCGAACTATTAAATTTCTTTTATATAATAAAGCAATAAATCTATATCATTGGGACGATTCATAAATTATTATAAAATTATTATAAAATTTTGCTTGCGCTCGCGATAGCGTAATTATTTCTTATAATTAAAACAACTTTTGAATAAATCGAAATAATTATCAAAAATAAATAAAAATCATTTTTTATAGTTTTCATATATAAAATATACTTTATATTAGTTAGTAATAACTACTATAATATTCGATAAGAAACAATAAAAATTATTAGATTAAAATCAAATAAGACGTCTTTAAAATATTTGTCGCTTTAGCTGGCATCAAGCCTAATAATGCTATCTCCATATTATTGCTTGTATTTATGCTAAATATGATTTTATTCAATGGAAACGGAGATGAAAGTTCGTTAACAAGGATTAGACAGCCACATTTAGCATGGTGGAGAATAACGATGCCGCGTAGCGGACATTTCGCGCGTATTCATTCATCAAGTGCGCTTCATCGATTTAAAATTCGTTTGCGTGCACAACGCACCGCTCTCGAGCTTTAAAAGCCGGCTTTTAATTTACTGCCAATGATACTAAAGACGAAAAGAATATCCGGTCGCGACTCCCAATTTGAGACCGTACCGCCTTCGTTCACTGATACTTTGGTTGGTCGAATCTTTCTACAGGACGATACACGGCTGAATTGAAAACTTTAAACTGATAGTCAGGAGTAACAAACCCAAAAAAATAAGCCGAAAGAAACGATTAAATGTTACTAACGTCGTTTACGACGATTAAAACAAATATATAGTTAGCAGATGTTTGAAAAATAAGAATTCAGATTTTATGATTATCGAACCAATATTAAACGATGCTTAAATCATTACGATGATTAATTATAAACATTCTTAATTGATAAAAGCATCTTACTCTATTATTACCAAAAAGATAAATAAATTGGAGAATTAGGAGATTCTCAATTCTAACAATATATTTCTGTAAATCCATCATTACCTCGTCATCAATTTAAAAGATCTATTAAAAATCCTCTAAAAATTAATTACTACTTTTATCAATTTTTGTTGAATAAAGATCTTAGATATCTTGAATAAAGATCTTTTATATCGAAAAAAATTTATCATATTTAAATAATCTAGTTTCATTTGAATTTGAAATTATACATTCATTTATGTTTTCTTCATCTTTACACGAGATTTGCATAGTTTCTCGACTTAACCGTGAATCGCCCTGTATAGGTATTCCATTAAGCGTTATTTCACTCCGGTCGCAGTTAAGCATAGCCACGAGTGCGAATGAAAATTACATAGCAGGACCACATGCGTTCTCCGTGTACCTTTTTTTTTTTCTTACGGCCTTTCCGCCTCCGTTGTGCCTCTTTAAATGAAATCTGCTTTACAACGATGCAGTTAACGTACCACTGCACGCGGGCACGGGGCGGCAGACGAATACGAAAAGAGAAGTTCGTAAGTACAATAAAAAAAAAGAGACAGAGAAACAGAGAGAAAGAGAGAGAGAGAGAGAGAGAGAAAGAGAGAGGGAGAAGAAAAAGAGAAAGAGTAAAAAAGAGAGTCGAGTTATGTGCTTCTCATTTTTGTATTAAGTGAATAATTGGTACATACATTGGTTAATTGGAAACGAGACGAATGGCAAATATGAGAAATTGTCACGTCAAGAATTCCTTTAACATGATCATTTAAACATCAACGTCTTTGATTCCACAATTTTAACTTATACATGTATTTTGATTAATGCGCAACTCCATAAAAGAATTCGTTTGTATAAATGCAACATTCAGTTATGTTTACGGAATACCTTTTGAGGATGCAAGAAATCTACGGAATGCGAGCGAACACTCATGATGGGAGGTTCGGCCGACGAGTATCGGGGTTGGAAACAATCTGTATCTATTATTCATGACGGCCAACGTTCGATATGAAATTATAATTGGCCACTCGTGCGTCAATCGACCAAATTGGTCCATAGTTC